TAAAAGTCTTTCATATTATAAAATATAATCACAGGAATACTTAAATATGGTGTTTTTTTATTATAATAATGCGTTTCTGTTATGTTGACAGCATAAATCATGTCAACATGATTACTTATAACTTGCTTTTGACGTGTAGGTAACAAAACCAATGGGAGATTTACAGGTTCTGTTAGGATCCCTGTGGTTTTGCTGTTATTCTGGAGTGAGTGAACTTCCTGTCACAGAAAGGATCTTTGCTGGTGGCTCGACCGACCAATGTTGCTGCCACCTGAGAACATTTCTCAAGCAAGGTAATAAATATAAGGAGGCAAAGGATCATCTCTCTTTGCTGGATGGTATTCTAGCCAAAGACCTAAAGAAGGAATATCTATTTTATTGAATCTGTCTTCTTATGAATCTCTTTAACTTGGACTCTGTATTGTTCCACACAATCGGTTTGTCTCCGATCTTGGTGAATAAAGGTCTTAACTGTGTGCATCAGTTCTCCGTTTTCATCACCTGCCTGCCTGCTCTCCAGCACGTTGTCTGTTCCAAGTACCAACGCTCTGGTGTCTCACTCACACTCACCTGGACCTCTGGGGTATAAAAATTCTCAGTGATCCAAGCAACCTGTCCTTCATCAATATAGGAAGCCAAATCAGATCTACTGACTTCCTGCAGTTCTCTGCTTCTATATTATTGTTTGTTTTCAATAAATGAAATGCTAAAACTCCCTGGTTTTCCATTTGATTCTGCTTGTGGGTCAAAAAACCTATAAGCTAACATGACAGTTTCCAACACAGTTTGTTTGTTTCCGCTGTGTAAGAAGATCAATACAACATAAAAAACCTTCCACTAAACAATGATGCAGGCCTTGGACTGTCCTTGAATGAACTATAGATGTAACATAATGAAAGTATTCAGAGCAAATTATTAGGTCTGTATCAATAACTCCGCACTATGTATCCTTCAGTCTTATTCCAATTTTAAAAATCGTATAATGTATTTTAAACAAAAATATCAAATTTGATGTATCAATATATTAAATGCTGCATTTTCTCTGAAAAAAAAAAATTGCACATTGTTAAAAAATATTATTTTATTGGAACTTATGCTTAATTCTATCTATATACATACATTTGTGTGAATCACCTTATAACCCAAAACTTGCTTTGTATTTGTAAAATAGAACTTGGTAATGAAGCTTTTCCCAATTCTAATTGTGATTAACATTTATGATTAACTTAATCTTTATTTTGTTATAATTTATACACATGGTAAAGTTTAGATTTCAATGTCAACTTTCAGCTTATGCAACAGGTTTTCTGACAAGAAGAAATATCGTTGTTATTGGCGGTCCCACCAGAGACCTGACGTGAATCTCACACCACATCCACAGAATCTGCACTGGAAAAACGACCTAGAAATAAGTAAAAATTTCTTAAATTAAGTGTATTTACCCTTAATATGAGTAGGTAAACGATAACCTGACTCCGCCAGATGGATTCGCTCCGCATATCCATCTGGAAACCTTCCGTTGAAGTAATTTTGGGAAGGGGCGAAAATACTGGTTAGCTGATTGGCCTATGTTGGTGATAGACGTGCCAAATAAACCAATCAGATCAACGAAGCATATGACGTACTAACAGAGCGACGACGAAAACACAACCACAAGCCAGGCTAACTCTTGCCGAAACCAGTCGGGAGAAGAGCAAAAACGTCTTTTCCCCTGAGAAAAGCCTCCAGAGCAGTGTTTTGCTCTTCTTTCAGTGAAGAAATACTCTGTAATTTCGATAAAACTTGCTCCATAGCCACGCTAACGCTAGTTTCATCGGCTGAAGCCGCCATGTTCTTTAGGCTGAACTGTCGCGCTTCTCGTTGCGTCACACCTCAAACGCCTCAAAGCCAACGCTGATTGGACGTTCGTTTGGTGAACGGCTCCAAATTTTCTTTAACGGAGAGTCTCCAGACTGATCTGCGAGTGAAACCTTGAAAGCTCGCCAGATCAGGATGGTCTCACGAGGCTAGGTAAACGAGACAGTTTGCCAGTGGAATGAGTATTTTTACTTTTAAAACAAGATAATTAAATAACATGCACTTGAAATAAGACAATGCAATTGTTTTTTCTTATTTTAAGTGTAAATTGTCTCGTTCGATTGGCAAAATTTCTCTTTTACCTCCTCAATTCAAGAACAAATGCATTTATTTTGAGAAAAAACAACTTATACAGATTTAGATTTTTCGGATGGACCTGAGAATTAGATTGATGGTTGAAATGTATTCTAACAAACAGCACAGTTTTGGCATGATGTATATGAAATATAAGGAAATTTAAAAAGGAACAAACGTGACAAATATCAGGTTTTCCTCAGGTATTTGCTCTTTTACGAGTCAGGAGGTCTTTTCATTAAGTGAGCTTCCAGTGTTTGTTATGAGCAGTGTGCAGAATCAGCCAAAGATAAACCGTTTTCACACCTCTGTTTGCAGTCCTGCCTTTGGCTTAAAGAGCTTTCAGCCAAACAATTGCATTTAGAACCATACTTATCATACAAATGTTGTGTCTCATAATAACAAAATTTACCATTATTAATACAGTTCATAAGCTTTTTGTCCTGATTAAACAATCTGTGCAACTTTTTATATGGAGCTGCTAGACAATTTGTCCCTTTATCAGAGTGTATGCTGAGTTTTTTTAATTGCATATCCATCACAGTTGTAGACCAATCATTGCATACCAGCGCGATTTACTGAACATCATTTTATTTTTCAAAATTGAGTATATTTAGCTATAGAGGCAATTAAACAATAACTGATATATTACTTTAATTTACCTTAATTATACACTGTTTTAAAGACTTTACAGCCTGTCTTCTTTCATTTTGATTTGATCGTCAGTTGAGAGCGTTGACTAACGTGAAATATGAATAATGATCCCTGATCAAACCAAGAAAAGGCAGAGAGACTTTTTGAATTATAACCACATTTCCACTGAAAAGATAATGAGTGGGAATTAGAAAACCCCTTTAAATCACTAGTTGTGAAAGTGGGTACAAAATATCCCTCTAGCAGTTTCAAACTGTTGCACTGTTGGTATGAAAATCCTCTGGTAAATAACTTAATACTCAGACGTGAAACGACCGTAACATGGACGACGTTATGTTAAGCGTTCATTCTGTCTGAATGCGGTGAATCTTCCTGTGGTTAATGTTATATTTAATTTCCCGCTGAATGAACGCTTAGTTAGTTTTTGAGATTTGAGGGGAAAGCTTGTCTTTTACACACACAAATAAACTTTGTAGAATTCCTCTTTGAGTGGCGGTTTAAAGCGACTTGAAATCACAAAGTCTGCAGGGGGGGGCATGCATGTGGAAAGATGCTGTCCATTAGCTGTCAACAATGACCAGTGGGTTTACCCTCCCATGGGACTAGTAACCAAGGCATCGTCTCATCCCGAGTCTGGCTTAGAGATCACACAGGCCCCATTGTCTCAAGAAGCCTGGAGTCTTATTGTAGAGGTGCCTCTGTGAAAGGACGAGCCTTCACGTCCGCGATCTGCTAAAGAAAGGCCTTTCTCCTGGCCAAGGCCTGGACAACTGTAAAGAGATGAACTTGGGGGAACACGGAGAGGGTATGGACTAGATTTGGAATGGGGCTCTCCCTCATCCAGGATTGACCTCCCTTCTCCACCTCAGTTTAATAAAGCTCGGGCCTTGGTCATTATTTTGGGCAGATGGAGATGGGGGCACCCTGTGAAAGGAATTGGTGTCACTCCTGAGGAGAGGATGGTAGGGATGACAGAGAAGAAAAAGCAAATCAGAGAAAAGATCAAAAGCAGAAGCTCTCCTTTCACTCGCCTGAAAGCACTAAAGAGGATAAGGAGCGATCGGGCCTGGGGTCTCCTGTCCTCACTGGCAATTAGACTCAGCTGATGGAGAAAAAAGCATGAATGGCAGGGTTCAAGGCCCTCTCTAGGACTCCCACAACGGGAAGGAGTTTTTTCCCCAACGCCTCCTTTATCTTCTTTTCCTTTCAGAGTGTCAGAAATGCAGCTGAAATATCTCTCCAAAAAGACGGCACAATCCCCAATGCCAAACCCTAATCACGGTGGCTGATGAGATTGAGAGGGGGAGGGGGGGCGGTTGAGAAAAAAAACACATTCTTTTCACAATTCATCTTAACACTTTTATATGAAGGGGGGGCACGGTAGGTTTATATGTGCTAATTAAATTCTACAAATTAGGGTTTATACTTTCATGGAAGAAAGAAACACATTAAATCATCAGTGCAATGTTTAATTACCTGTATCTTATTGCTAATAAAGAAATATTTAGAGCTGTAGAAAAGCTAAATACATAGAAAACCCATTAATAAGAATTTATTTCCACATACAGACAGTTCAAACTCAGATGTATTAAGCTAACAAGATGACTGAGTATATTAGCACATATCCATCAGTAGGCCTACTCAAACATATCTGATACTGCAATTCTCAATGGGTGGCTTCGAGCTCTTTATCCAATATAAAATTCATTTTAAAAGGCTACAGCCATATCGACCTGTCCCTCAGGAACCTATTACCATCCTCTGCATATGCAGAAGTATCAAAAGGCTGTCGTTCAAACTCACGTAGGTACCCAAGCCGTTTGATACGACTTTAACAGCTTGTCATGTGAGGCACATTAGGGATTTTCATTACACAGGTCATCGGAGAATGAAGAATTTCAGAAGATAGAAGTTCAGACTCATTACGTTGGAAAAAAGAAAGACTAAGTCAGTCATTTGTTTTATTTAGCGAAACATGAAACTAGCCGAGGTTGTCGCAGTAAAAAACGGTCCAATACAAATATCAGACAAAATGGACAAAAGATCTTTGGGGGATTAGACACAAAGTTTACAGACTAGGCTGGTTTGCAGAGTCCTCCCTTCAGAGGTTTATTTAGGCTGAGCAGTGCAGACCCCAACCCATAATCCTCTTTCAGACACACCTGTAGAGGAGAGTATAAATATCCTGAGCTAAACAGAGCCAGACATCAAGCTTCAAGGAGTCTCTCCACAGCAGTTCTCTCTAGAAGCTCCTGAGTCTTTGAGTCGAACCCGAAGATGATTTCCTCCACCAGCCTCCTCCTGCTGCTCCTGCTCGGCCTCTCTCAGGCTTTTCCTGTTGAAGAGGAAGGACCCCAGGAAGAGGAAACCCAAGAAGGAGTAGACACCGTGGACTTGACCACCAGAATTTTGAGCGCCAACAACGGCTCCGAAGAAATGCTGCTGGGAGGAGACATACTGGTTCCCAAAGACAGGAATGCAATGAAGTGCTGGTACAACAGCTGCCAATGGGGAAAAGCCTCCAATGGCTATGTGGTGATTCCTTATGTAATTGGGAGGGAGTTCACCAGTTGGGAAAGGGGGACCATCGAGGGCGCCATGAGGGCCTTCGCCAGTAATACCTGCATCCGCTTCGTGCAACGTAGCAATGAACGTGACTTCATCAGCATTGTAAGCAAACAGGGCTGCTGGGCTGAGCTGGGCAGAACCGGAGGCATGCAGGAGGTCTCACTCAACAGGGGGGGCTGCGTGTATGGCGGAGTGGTCCAACACGAGCTCATCCACGCTCTGGGCTTCAATCACGAGCAGACCCGGAGCGACCGCGACAACTACGTAAGGATCAACTGGCAGAACATCATCCAGGAGTCCGCCTACAACTTCCAGAAGCAAGACACCAACAACCTGAACACTCCCTATGACTACTCCTCCATTATGCACTATGGAAGAGACGCCTTTGCTGTGGCCCCCGGGAGGGAGACCATCACCCCTATCCCCAATCCCAACGTCCAGATCGGCCAGAGGCAGGGCATGTCCTCCTGGGACATCAGAAGGATCAACCTGCTCTACAGATGCTAAAAACTCTCCTTCTGCTAGAAGTGAGAACTTCAACTTCATGTTAACTAAATATTGGAACCAGAAATAATGAATTTTAAAAATAATTGATGAAAAATTTAAAATCCTAATAAACTAAGAGCAGCAATTTATGCTTGTGTTTTATTCCATTTCCTACCACGGCAGAAAAATGGCTGACCAGAATCTCTGATTGTCAATAACTTACTAAACCTCCTATGTTCACAAGTTTTGGAAAAGATGCACAGTTCTAAACCTATTGATATTAAAGTGCGGAAACTACGTATGAGGAGGAAATGACATTGCTATTTTTTACCAGGCTGAGCAAACCTTTGATGCAGAAAAGACAGTTTAATGTCTAAAAGCCTTTAGACATTAAACTGTCTTTAGGATAGAGTAGAAATCAATTTCGACCGCTTAATTAGCCTAAAAATGGTTATTCTTCTTTCTACATCTCCAAACAGTTCAAAAAGCAAAAGAAGAGCATCTACTACCTTGATTTTAGTTCTCTCACATTAACTTACTGTTTTTGCTGAACAACTTAATATGAAGGAAACCATTTCTGTTGGTCTCACCTCATCCAAAATGGGTGAAAGAATTTGATTAAATGGGATTGAGAAACTTAGGAACATAAGTTATTGAATATAAGAGAAGACCTTAAAGTTAGTATGGAGGATTTTTGCGAATTTTTTAAAAGACCCAACTTCTCCACTTAAACAAAATGCACATGCACAACTCTGGACCCGCTGGCGACAGCATGGAGGAGCCAATTTCTCCTCGGTATGCTCAGTTTAAAAGTTGCTGTTCTCATAGGTCATACAAGCTTACGGTGCCCGAACGTCAGCCCTAACCCTTAAATCCCTCAATTAGTACATAGAGCGGGGAATATACACTCACTGGCCACTTTATTAGGTACACCTGTCCAACTGCTCGTTAACACTTAATTTCTAAGCAGCCAATCACATGGCGGCAACTCAGTGCATTTAGGCATGTAGACATGGTCAAGACAATCTCCTGCAGTTCAAACCGAGCATCAGTATGGGGAAGAAAGGTGATTTGAGTGACTTTGAACGTGGCATGATTGTTGGTGCCAGAAGGGCTGGTCTGAGTATTTCAGAAACTGCTGATCTACTGGGATTTTCACGCACAACCATCTCTAGGGTTTACAGAGAATGGTCCGAAAAAGAAAAAACATCCAGTGAGCGGCAGTTCTGTGGGCGGAAATGCCTTGTTGATGCCAGAGGTCAGAGGAGAATGGCCAGACTGGTTGGAGCTGATAGAAGGGCAACAGTGACTCAAATAACCACCCGTTACAACCAAGGTGGGCAGAAGAGCATCTCTGAACGCACAGTACGTTGAACTTTGAGGCAGATGGGCAACAGCAGCAGAAGACCTCACCGGGTGCCACTCCTTTCAGCTAAGAACAGGAAACTGAGGCTACAATTTGCACAAGCTCTTCGAAATTGGACAATAGAAGATTGGAAAAACGTTGCCTGGTCTGATGAGTCTCGATTTCTGCTGCGACGTTCGGATGGTAGGGTCAGAATTTGGCGTCTACAACATGAAAGCATGGATCCATCCTGCCTTGTATCAACGGTTCAGGCTGGTGGTGGTGGTGTCATGGTGTAGGGAATATTTTCTTGGCACTCTTTGGGCCCCTTGGTACCAATTGAGCATCGTTGCAACGCCACAGCCTACCTGAGTATTGTTGCTGACCATGTCCATCCCTTTATGACCACAATGTACCCAACTTCTGATGGCTACTTTCAGCAGGATAATGCGCCATGTCATAAAGCTGGAATTATCTCAGACTGGTTTCTTGAACATGACAATGAGTTCACTGTACTCAAATGGCCTCCACAGTCACCAGATCTCAATCCAATAGAGCATCTTTGGGATGTGGTGGAACGGGAGATTCGCATCATGGATGTGCAGCCGACAAATCTGCGGCAACTGTGTGATGCCATCATGTCAATATGGACCAAACTCCCTGAGGAATGCTTCCAGCACCTTGTTGAATCTATGCCACAAAGAATTGAGGCAGTTCTGAAGGCAAAAGGGGGTCCAACCTGTTACTAGCATGGGGTACCTAATAAAGTGGCCGGTGAGTGTATAGTGGACTTTATTGTGAACTCAGTTAACTGACCGTTCAGACAGATAACTGCTTTTTGCTCCCCATTTGTCACACAACTCCTCCTCCACTCCGCGTTGCCTGGGCCATCTTTGTTATTAGTCGCTGCTGTCGGGTAGCGACAGCCTATCAGCCGCTGTGACATCAAATCCCATAATGCTTTGCGCAATCTGGGTTATATCTAGCTCTTCTGAGGACTTTCTTTTCTTCTCATACACTTCATAGTCACTTTTTCTCAATTCTTTTTCAAAGAACTGCAGTAAGAAAGGTGAGCTTCGATAACTGAAACCATAGATCACCACAGATGTACGCCTGAAGTGCGCATGTGCAGAAAAAGATAGCTAACGGGACGAGCACGTAGGACGGCCTTAAAGGAATAGTACACCCAAAACATGATTAGCCTTCATTTTCTACTCACCCCCATGCTGAACAACACTCTGGAGTACTTTTTTGATATCTCAAATGCATCTGGAGATCTGGGAGGCTTCTTGCTGTCTGCTGACATTCAAATAATGGAGGTCTATGGCGCCCGAGGCAGAAAGGTCCATAAAAGTCCACAAAAAACGTGTCAATATTCCTCCATACTGCTCGTCCAATGTATTCCAAGTGTCCTGAGTGGGTAGCATCCAGAATTTACTCGAAACGAAGTCATTTAGAATGTTTTTAGAGCATAAACAGTAGTGTATAGGATTTGCTGAAAGCGCGTTCACGAGCCTACGGAAGCCGGCAGACCAAACCAGATGAAAGTGCGCATTCAGTGTCTGCTCTGCCGATAATGCAAGCTTAGAAGAAGAAATGTGCTGTTTACCTGTGCAAAGAAAGAAACAACGAAAGAAAAATGTCTGAGGACTTCAGTGTTGAGGAAGAGCATGAGTTCTTTGCCGAGCTGAATGCGCTGGTTTGGTCTGCCGGCTTCCGTAGCGTCGTGAACGCGCATGTGCGCGCTTTCAGGAAATACTATACACTACTGTTTATGCTCTAAAAACATTCTAAATGACTTCGTTTCGAGTAAATTCTGGATGCTACCCACTCAGGACACTTGGAATACATTGGACGAGCAGTATGGAGGAATATTGATACGTTTTTTTGTGGACTTTTATGGACCTTTCTGTCTCGGGCGCCATAGACCTCCATTATTTGAATGTCAGCAGACAGCAAGAAGCCTCCCAGATCTCCAGATGCATTTGAGATATCAAAAAAGTACTCCAGAGTGTTGTTCAGCATGGGGGTGAGTAGAAAATGAAGGCTAATCATGTTTTGGGTGTACTATTCCTTTAAGTAAACACATCACCAGAATGATTGACAATTGACAAGGACCACTTATTTTGATGATCCACCAGGAAAAAGATAATCCTCCACGGATGCTAATTAAAGTAGCTAGCATCCATCCATCCATTATCTGATACACTTGTCCCAAGTGAGGTCGTTCAGGGGTGCTGGTGCCTATCTCCATTAGTCAATGGGCGAGAGGCGGGGTACACCATGGACAGGTTGCCAGTCCAACACAGGGCAACACAGTCATGTTTTTGCTGGAGTAACCCGAGAGAACCCACGCATGCTCAGAGAGAACATGCAAACTCCATGCAGAAAGACCCCGGGCAGGTTTACATTATTTTTTTTTTTAAAGAAATCTGTTCCAGGGATGACTGCACATCCACATGAACTGCATGTCAAAAAAATGAGGGAGATTTACACGGTTAAGAGCTTTGCGAACAGGCTAGCTATTAGCCTATTGCTACTCCTGGATCTCTATTTTAAAGGAACAAGCTAAAAAAATGTGCATCTGGTACCATTACAATAAAAAAAACTTCATAGTGTATATATAACTTCTATTATTGCAACTGATGCTATGTTATCTTTTATAAATATATAAAAAAATTCATTAGCTTTTTCAAAACTTAATTTTTGGGGTTATTTAGAAACCTCAGACCAACTTGCTCGCAATGGCAATTTACAACTATCAAAAAAACTCCAAGATTGGTGTTTATTTGCTAGCTGATTAAATGTTGGATGAAACATCAAACTCTGTCAGCTCATCATAAATGAAGCACAATGTATTATGGTAAAAATCTATTCTTTGCTGAAGGTTTGCAAGTATTTCTTCTAATCTTAAAACTTTGAAATAACTTGAAACAAAACATGAAGTTGGCAGTGTTGGAAATCACTCCGCTGTACTTAATGCATTTTTCATTGTGTTCACATCTGGATCTTACAAAAATCTTGGGAATGCTAATTGAAAACAAAAGCAGAAACAGCCATGGGGCTATTGTAAGATGATTTGGCACACTCATCATTGCATCTCCCCTGTCCCAGAGCTGCTGGCGGTTGACCGCCTCAGGCTTTTCTGGATATAAGACTTTGATGTCAGCCGGGACAGGACAGCACAGCCGTCCCACAGGCTCTGGGCAGAAACACAACCTTCAAACACTTTAATTTTCTTGGACCTGGAGTCCTTAGAGGATTGTTGACAACCAATTAATGACTGATGAGGAGACACAAGGTGAAGGAATTTTATTTATATATATATATATAGACCAGTAAGGTCTGGTTAGTAATAATACATGCAGATATTTATGCTGATATGCTAAACCTTTCAGCTTGTTGACTAAACTTTTAGTTTATTCAGTTAGTGAAACATAATAGAAAAAAACCCTTTTTGAACAATAAAAGCATCATCTTCTATTCAAAGCCACCTGATAACATTACTGATTAAATTCCTCACCACTATTATCACACATCATAGGCAACAAAACTGTCTTGATGGTTCTGTCTGTTGTTTTTTGTATTACTCTATTGCACTCGTAAATTACTACAAATGCTGTTTAATATTCCTCAGAAACAATAAATGTATTAATAAATGTAATTATTAAGGAAGTAAAACTACTGTTCTGTTACGCTAAAATCAGGAAATGTCATATTTTGCATTTTTGTAAGATTAATTTTACTCTCTTCATCCTCTGACATGGGAGCTGGCTCGCAGCTCGTCTGCCTGGCTATGTGTTTCCTGGACTGTGGAGCTGGTTTACAGTTGCCTTTTGTATCTATGCTTCTTTTTCTATGTCTGCTTCTGTCTCCTTAACCCTAGTCGGCCTCAGCAGATGGCCGCTCACGCTGAGCCTGGTTCTGCTGGAGGTTTCTTCCTGTTAAAAGGGAGTTTTTTCTCTCCACTGTCGCTACAAGCATGCTTGGTGTGAGGGATTGCTGAAGAGTCAATGAGTTGATGAGGTCAGCAGGTTTTCCTTAGAAAACCTTGAATCAGTCTGACATTATCTGGTTGAAACGTCTTTTTAAAGTTCCTTATGATAACGTGTGTTGTGAATTGGCGCTATAGAAATAAACCGAATTGATTTGATGGTGAGGTCATAAAATCTGAGTGACTTAAAGTAAATGAGTCGGGGTTTTACCATAACTACGAGGACTAGAAACTTTACTTTGGACGACAAACTCGTATCACTCTGGATTTGCTTACTTAAAGCTGTTCCTAAGTTTCTCCATATTTATTGACATTTAAACTAACTACATTTGTAGTTCGTCTGACTTCTTTCTGTATTTTGCTATGTTTACCGGTTTTTATTTAACCTGACTGTGTAAAGAAGCAAAGCAAAGCTGGTTGTTTGAGCTTTTATAATCTAAATTCAATGTGCTTTGAATTACACTGCAAAAAATTGAAATCTAAATAAGTAATGTTTTCTTAAAATAGGTGTTTGTCTTGAATTGAGGAGGTAAAACAGACATTTTACCAATGGAACAAGACAATTTACACTTAGAATAGGAAAACACAATTGCATTGTCTTATTTCAAGTGCATATTATCTAATTATCTTATTTTAAGAGTAAAAATTCTCATTCCATTGGCAAATCATCCCAATTAACTACTAAAATTAAGGGTAAATACACTTGATTTGAACTTATTTCTAGATCATTTTTGCAGTGTAAAGCATTCTACTAAAATCTGTGTCTGGATGTTTGGCTTTGATATTTGTCCCTAGTGGAGCAAAACAATCCCACAGCATGATGCTTCCACCACATCCCACGATGGTGTGAAGCCTTAGTTTTCAAACAGAGAGAAAATCCTTGTATAGTTGATGCATTAGGTTTTATAAATGCTACCTAACAGACTGCATTTTCTCTCTGTCATGTTGCTGGAAGAACGGCAGTCCTTGTTTTTTCTATTGATGAGCACATTGGTGTTCCTAATATTTAAATGTAATGTTCAGTAACGTTATCACATCAGGAAATGTGCATGTTTAGTCTGGAAGGACTGAAATTTCAGGTTATTGTCTAAACAAAATAAAAAACTTGCCTTTATTTTTGGGAGCCAAGTTGCATTAAATCTAATCAGGATTACATCAGTAGCCAATTTTTAATTAATTGGCGAATTAATTGTTTGGAGGTGGCTTGCAACAGATCCTATTATCAGCTCTTATTATCCACATAACTATTTTATTATTACAAATCATTTTTAATAGGAGGTTATATTAGGGAAAACTGAGCTGATCACTGTATTGTTCATAGTTTTTCGTCCCAAAAAATATACTAAACTACATTGGTGCAGTTCAACAAAGTACCACAAAATGTTTAAAAGCTGTTGAAATGAGTTCCAAACTAACGTTAATCTATTAGAAGCATTTTGTCTCAATCACTCGATACATATTGTGTGGCTACTTTCTACAGTGAGATGATGCATTAATGTTTTAGAGTATCAAAACTGTAAAATCTTATATTCAAACCTCCAATTGGGCATCATTTTAACGATATGCAAGATAAAGAACAAGGACCAGAGTTTCCCTTCCCTGTGTAGAAGCTGTAGTAATGAGGGCGGCAGTGGCGTTGGATGTTAGCCTGGGTGCCATTCCGAACTTAGTCCCGCCCACAAGGTTTAAGGTCGGGAAGTTCGGTCAGGCATTGCTCAACTGTAGCGCTAGTATGCTAGCACAATATCTGGCGGGCCAATCAAATTGTCAGGGCGGGCTTTATACGATGATGGACAGATGATCAACAGTAACGTAATCAACCACGTGACCAAAGCGCGCTTGGGTGACAACAACAATGGCTGCCGCTGGAGAGTTGAGGTGTGTAGATTCTGCTATTAGGTCTGTTCTAGAAGATATCGACAGCAAATTAATTTTAAAAGAGGAACAGAGAAACGCGTTCAAGGCATTTGTTAAAAAGAAAGATGTTTTTGGCGTCCTTCCTACGGGATTCGGCAAAAGTTTAATTTATCGCTGGCTCCCTTGGTCGCTTAACATACTCTGTTACTCTTATTGGTTGTAGATCTATCCAATTGAGTGCAGAGGCATTTTTTTTCCTGCTTCGTTCGAAACACGCCCCATAATCACAGCTCTATGGAGCAGTATCAGACTCATATTCTGACTAGAATTGAGTCAGACTAAGTCAGGCTAGTTGGATGTAGGAGTTTGCCCTGAAATGGAAGGATTGATCAAGCCCCGACTCCGACTTTCAGTGTCCTTGGGCAAGACACTTCACCTGCATTGTCTACTGATGGTGGTCAGGGGGCCAGGTGGCGCCAGTGTTCTGTCAGTGAGCCCCAGGGCAGCTGTGGCTACAATGTAGCTTGCCACCGTGAGTGTGTGAATCGGTGAATGCATTTAGTGTAAAGCGCTTTGGTCAAGTCTCCTGACTTGAATAAAGGCGCTATACAAGTACATGCCATTTACCATTTGCTTTCAAAATGGTAAAGCATTAAAGCATTATTTGTGAAATAAAAAAAATATGAAAAGTAAAAAACATTTTTGCATCAGAAGGTGTCTGGACTGTTGCATTTTAACTCTAGATGGAAATCCCAAACACGCCTTTGAAGCTGCTGATGTTAGTCTGTAGGTTGGTCCTGAATCTTCTCCCACCTTATAGAGCAGTAAGGAAAGTCTATTGAGACCAATAAGCTGCCGTTTCTGCGTGCCGCTGTTAGGCCTCTGCCACATCGCATTAGTCTCGACGTGTGAGCCATGATTTTGCTTGCCAATTGCGTGGCGTCTCGCTGCCTATACATATTCATGCCCAGCCTATAAGTGTCAGATTGAGATGTCCTTCCGGTGTCCATGACAGCAGGTTATTAATATTGAACACCTAAGTGAACATTTTAACTAGATGAAGAGACATGCAGGTCACTGCGTGTCACATTCCTCACACCCTCTGTCTTCTAGGACGATTTAACACTTTTTTTGGCAAAGATTCTAAAAAGAAATATTAGAATCAAATATCTGCTTTAAATAATGATAAGGTATTTATAATTAATCTATTTACAGCTGATTTTATTTGTCTCTGTTAAAAAAATCACCAAACACCTGGCTCTGATTAAAATTATTATTTTTTTTCTCAGAATAGCAACGTCTGAACCAGTGCACCCCCCCATCGCTGGGTGTGGCTGCTGGTTTAGGGTCTTCTTCTTAAGCAAGGAACCGGAGGCTCTCTGGCTGCAGCGTTTGATAGGATGCTGGCTGCAGGCGCCTCGTCACGGTAGCTGAGAAGAGGTCGCCGGGGTCCTCCCGCTTGTGGCGACGCCCAGGGGCCGTCAGCGCAGCAGGGATCCCGGGTGCCGGCGAGGTCTTGAGCAGAGCCGCGCTTCGCTTCATGAAAGCCTAATGAAGAGTTGGGGGTGGGTTTGTGAAAGTGTGCTGCTATACGCCCACAATCCTGCAGCACGGGAGCAAAGAGAGGATAAATGCTGCGAGCAGGAAGGACAGTTAGAGATGCAGCTCAGGAGAAATGAACCGATTTGATGCCTGCATTTATTGCTGCAAGGGCCATAGGACACATTTTCTATATGAGTAGTAGTCATTAATAAATAAGGTCTTACAGGAAAGCCCACGGAATAAAAGAATAAAAAAGATAGATTCCAAATGGTACAAAACTTAAAACTAAATCCAGGCACTTATCTTTGTGTGTAAAAGAGTCGTATTAACACAATTAAATAAACTTAGTGAATACATATATAAGAAATGAAGTTAGAATTGTAAGAAACTTAATGCATATCAGCTTCTATATAAAAGCTTTGATTTAGAAAATGACTTATTTCTTTCTAAAACACAAACATTCACATTCATCCCGGAAATTGCATCGTTTCTTTTTCAGATGGGAAAATAATCCATCCATAAAAGTGTCATTAGGTTCCAACAATAAAACTTACAGCAGCTTCCAACTGATCTTTTTTTTTTCCTTTCTCTAAAGTAAACCGTACTGTACATACAATAGTACACCTATATTCACGATAAATACTACTATAAGCTGCTCCAGAAATAAACAAACAGAAACATTCAGACTGAGATGATTCTGCCGAGCGCTCGGCGAGGTCCTCTTTGGTTGAGAAGCGCCGGCCGATCCGAGCCTGGAGAGCCGTACATACTGAACATCCCGCAGCCGATACGAAGGTCAGCCCCTTCCTCAGACAGACACGCCATCCTCTACACGGTGGGTTTATTTAATAAGCCCAGAAAACAGCCGCGTCAGGAACCAGCGTGAGAAACAATCCTCCATCGGCAACCTTTTCTACTGGATCTTCTTCTTCCGGCTACTTTTGCCCTCGCTGTACTGAACCTGCAGGAAATCAGAACAAAATAATTTAAGTGTTAAATGAACAAAATAAAGACCAAAGACATGAGTAAATAGATTCAAAGCTGTAATGAATTCAAGGAAAGGAAGTCCTCCTGGGTTCAGCCATAACCTGAGGGGAAATATTACCAAAGCAGGGAAAGTATTCATCGTTTCTATGAATCCTAATTAAAGCATGAGTCGATTATACGCAGCATATATTTCTCAGCAAAACATGGCGATATAAAAGCGTTTGGATGTTACTGTAGAGTAAGCTGCTTGATAAAGAGCGCTAACGCTAATGAGTGGGATGCTCATCACCTCGGCTGTACGCACACACGACGACCGGAGCATCTCTATGCTTCATAAAGTGTCTTTCACTCAACTGTGTGACCCAAGGGCACAGAGGAAGGAGACAAATGGAGTTTAACAGCTTAGAGGGATGGAGCGAGTGAGGAAAATAAAGACAGGGGAGCAAATGAAGGTCCAGACCAGATGAAAAGGAAGCCCGGATGTTTCTTCTGAGCAATAAATGAATAAAAAGTTGTTGATGCAGCTTTTAAACTCTGAGCCAGTTCATCCGGCTAAGCAGCTGTGAGGGACCTTGAGATGCTCACGGCCACGCATGGAACTAAAGCAGGAGACAGTTTGTAACACAAGACCTCCACCAGGGATGTATCACCACCAAAACACGAGTGAAATTACACAGGGCTGCATAATTATACAGAACAGAGCTAATTATACAGACAAGAGGGAAGAAAGCCTGGGAGTTGTTGTGCTAAGAGGCAGAGCCGGCAGCCTCTGGGATTTCAGGCTTCCTGGCTGGCTGATCCTGCCCAGCTTACCTTCTGCACATCTGAAGGCACCCTCGACAGGAAATCAAGCACCTCATTGTTGTCGATGCAGTACGGGTTCCGTAACTTCTTGGTGAATTTATTGATACCTAAAACAAAAAGTCACACCAGCATATCATTAGGACTAGTCTCTGGTGGCTGTGCTCTTTGTTTCCACACAAACAAATGCTTGGAGGAGAGGCTCACGCCGTCCAAGAAGCGCTGCTCTCAGCACCAAGGTACGCAGCGCGCTCTCACTTTTGGACGGCAGATACGCGAGGATTAAGTCAAATTTTTTTTATCTTTGAGTCAAAATATTTGAATGTTGGAAGCCATGGCAGTTAGCGCACACACAAACAAACAGAGACTCCTGTTGAACTTAAAAAGATTGGCTGAAAACAGAAATGTTAGAAGGAATTTAATTTGTCTTTCCATTTTTAGTAAGAATTTCAGCACCTTTTAAAAAAACAAAAAGAAAAATCCTCTGGATTTTTCACATTTTTTCCTTAGGTTCCAATTTTAATTCAAAGTATTTTATCGGTATTTTAATGTGAAGGGAAGTAGTGCATACTTTGTTGCTTGAAGGATGAATGATCATACACTTTTATTTAAAAATAAAAATCTGAAAATCCATTTATGCTCAGCCGTGTGATTTAATACTTTCCCTTAGCACCATTTAGCTACAGCTACATATTCTCAGCTCAAAAAGGTTTGCACTTTGACTAGGCCGTTCTAAAACATGCAGTTGCTTTTCGTCTAAAGCATTAAATCCAAGCTCTCTCTTTATTCAATGTTATATATATAAAAGTCTGAGGTTGTAATGGTGCAAAATATGAAGAAGTTGAATGTGAATGAGGTTCTTTCTAAATGTTCTGCAGAATAAAGCTAAAAAGCAGCAATGAAGCATCATCTTTTCTGAGACTCACCCCATATTAGGACCACGTAGCGAATGGGGATGAAGTATGTGACGACTGCAGCGATGATAAAGACCACAAGCGCCAAGGCAGACAGGAATGGCACCGACCAGTTAAATGTGCTGTAAATTTAAATGAAAACGACATTTAAAATTAAAAGCGATAGAGTTGTTTCATTTAATGAAATGACTGCTGTGAGAGTCCAGCGGAGGAAGACTCCTGAAATGATATTAGAGCGCTGTAATTCCGGCAGATATGAACTTCTTACTTTTTAATCCTCTCTCCGAGGCAGGCGATCTCATCCAGCAGGTTCTGGACGGTGATGATAATGTCTTGGACCATGTGGATTTTATCTATCAGGCCTTTTCTCTCCGACTCCTGTGGAAGAAAACAACATAGTAATTAAACAACACTGGAAAAAAGTTAACGATTCCTTTACCGCAAAGGAAGTTTGGTTAAATTTTATTCTCCTCACTTCAGTTAAAAAGAAACATATTAGGTACATTTTGCCCAAAATACAATGCTAAAATTCATAAAAAAGGAGCAGAAAAGAACCAAACATTTACATGAGCAGTTTATATTTTGCTAAAGCACAACTGAAAACTTTTACTAAATACACTGCAAAAAATAGAAATCTAAATAAGTCTTTTTTTCTTGCAATAAGTGCATTTATTCTTGAATTGAGGAGGTAAGTGAGACACTTTGCCATTGGAACAAGACAATTTACATTTAAAATAAGAAAACACAATTGCATTGTCTTATTTCAAGTTAATATTATCTAATTATCTTATTTTAAGACTAAAAATACTCATTCCATTGGCAAATTCTCTTATTTACCTACTCAAATTAATGATAAATACACTTGTTTTGAGACATTTTTTCTCCTTTTAACATAGTTTTTGCAGTGTAAATCCACATAAAAACATATGATGCCTTAAAAAAAAAATCATTTTGCCAACTTATATATATATATTTATTTATAACCATTATTACAAACAGATTTCTTGTTTTTCAAAAGCTGTGTCATATCTATAGATTTAAAAGTTCAGATCCAAACTCTGAACCTTGTGGAATGCCAAATGTATTTTTCTATGTTAACTATTAATATTAGCTACTCAATCATACTTTCTTCTTCTTTTAGTTCTTTAATAAATTCAAGGAACAACATCTTAAACCCACACTAAGTCTAACTTAATAGGAAAATGTCATGTTTATTATTATCAAAACAACTCTTAATGTTTCATTCAAAGATGTAACTAAAAACAGGACTAATGGTTACTATCAATTTTGTTTGAATGTTAAACAAAAGATCTTTTTCATGGCTGAATTTGAAAATTTATGCTGGTTGAAGAGTTTTACCAGGTTTTAAATAATAATATATCATATTCTAATAGAATGATAGTAATATTTGAGGTAATTCACGTTCAGTTGATGAGAATGTTTAGGTTGTAGAGATCTACCCTGCAGGTCGGTGCATTATGAAACAGAAGAAGTTTTGTTGGGAGGTCGCTCTACAAACGCCTGTAAGAAGAAGAACTGCCTTAAAGTAAACAGCAGGGACCCGGCTCTTTGAAGGTCTTTGCTCAGAGAGAGAGACTTTAAACTCAAACATGTCCACATCAAAAGCACAGAGACTAACGGATGGTTGAACATCTAAAGAAAGGAGATGGGCTGTGTGAGGACGCTGCAGACACAGCCGGGATTTTCTCCCAAACCGCATGTTGAGACAAACGGATAGTCGAATATCCGTCAGCCCTTTGGCCGCTTCAGGGTCGCGTTCCCAGTGGAATCCCTATGAGAACCGCAATGAATCAGACCTTTCAAAACGTCTACAATAAACCGCTGTCACTCTCAAGACATATTCCATAGCCTAAAAGCATTTCAGCAGAGTCAACACTAACTTTCAGAAAAGAAGCATGTCTAAGTGCTGTCATTAGTTCTATATTGATGGTATTATGTAGTTGGTTAAGCTCAGGGACTTTCCCCAATGCAGCAGAGCTTTTCCCCCGCCCCTCCATTTCCATATGAATAAGTTGTGACAAGTGGAAACAGGTTGGTGAGATCTTCATTAGGCCTAAACGTCTTTTGGTTTAAAAAGGAATACAACTGGTGGTTGGCATGAATCAAAATGCGGCGGAAGATTTAGCGCCGAATAAAAGGCTTAGCAACACACAGCCATAGATCAGACAGGGAGATGCCTCTGTCAACACGGGAAAAATCATAACTCTGTTTTTATTTATCAGCACACAAAAGTCAATACAGAGCTTCTAAAAATAAACCGCCCTTAAAAGGTACGTACCTTTTCATCATCCTCTTCCTCATCCGCCAAATCCATGTTGTCCTGAAATTAAAACAAATAGCACAATCAAGACGGGAGCTTTAAAGGAGTCGCTAATCGGAATAATAAAAAAATAATTAAAATAACTTTGTGTTGCTAAAACATGTAAAGTTTGGACTAAATCCTGCAGCTCAGCAGTGACCCTTAGATTAGCCTCCTCAAACAGCCGGCCCTGCGGGGTCGCAGGCCGACGGGCAGCACCGGCTTTTTCTCAGGCTCACACTCGCATACCAGAATATATTAACAACCTATAATCATGGTTAGAACATCAGCAGCACTCACACAAAGGAGGTGTTTAAAAGGCTGCGCACCACATAGATCAGTATTAATAAACAAGCATTAGTGTCTCTTTAAATCTGCGCTTCAAGCTGGAAAAAACACATTTAAACAGTAAAAACAATGGAAGCATTTATTTTTTTTAATCTTAAAATGAAAAGATGAAACATTCGCATTGAGTTTTTAAAATCTCACTCTGAAAATGGAATAAAAATACAGCAAACACTGTATTTTTTATTTTATTTTACTATAAGTATAGTTATAAAAAGCATTTTATTTAACAGTGGGAAAATTTATCAAATGAAAGGATGGACTGGAAGATGTGGGTGTGGTTATCTGGGACTTTAAAGCCAGATGTCATTGCTCCTTTAAAGCTACCCCAATGACTGAACATAATGTCTTAATGAAGATAAATATCAATTAAAAAATATTCCCACCTTTTTATTCGATTGGTGCTGATGAATTCTGCCTAACACTGGTTTAAACGTCTCTCCTCGCTGAGTCACATTTGTTCTAGCTGCACACCTATTAGTACATCTAAACAGGGTCAACACTTAAAGAGACAGTTTTCTACAAAAGAGGATTAGGGCCACTGAAAAAAAAAAGAAAAAAAAAAAGTTCACTGATTTTTTAATTTTATTTCAGTTTAATATGGGAAAAAGTCAGTCTGACTTTTTTCTCAGAATTCTGAGATTAAAGTCAGAATTCTTCAGATAACAAACATGTTAGCATCAGGCCGTAGCCATGTCTGTTTTAGAGACTAGCTCTCTTGTTTTAATGACCTTCTGCTCCTCCATTAATGAGGGGACCCCTCAGGCACGTAAAAAGTTGCCTAATTCCGTCACTTTCCACCAATGTGTCACTGGCCACCTCAAACAACTCACATCTTTGTCAGTTATGCTGAGTGCTCCACATCTCTTCCTTCATGGGGCCCATCTACATTAAGATCCAAAATTCTGAGATTAAAGTCAGAATTCTGAGAAAAAAGTCAGAATTCTGAAATAAATGTTAAAAATCAGTTTATTTGTTTATTTTTTTTTTAGTGTCAAGCGTCAAGGCGCAGCAAAAGGACCCGCAGCGCGTTTTGAGCAGCTGAAGCAGCGCGTCGGGAGCGTTCAAGCAACTGCGTGACGCGCAGCAAATGCGCTGCTGCTCGAGATGGAAAAATTTTTACATTTGCTGCTCGACGCGCCGCAACAACTAATCAGAGAAGCTGATCTGGGAGCTGGCAGGGAGTCAGACACATCGCTGATGATCAGAGCGCTGTGATCACTCCTCTGAAACAGTTTATTGACGCATAAATTAACTTAAAATGCAGAAATCTGCCGGCAGAATATGTTCGCTTTTATTATCCTGCTGCCTGCAGTTTAGATTATTTAGATGGAAAACACCTACCAGCTGCCGCCGCGGTGAACCGCGAGGAGGCGACCCGGCCAGAGGCTGCTGTTGAAGGGATTCCTACTGAGAGCGCACCGCTGGTATGTGGGGGTCTGAGCGGCTCCGACAGAAATAATATTGGAAGGCAGGTTGATAATCTGGATCAACTGACTGCACTGATTAAGTTTTCAGGTGGATTTTCTCACTTATTAAAACATATTAAAACTACTTTATTCCCACTGATCACAGCAAATATAGCTGCAAGGCAAAGAAAGGATAGAGTAGCTCCGCCCAACGCGCGTCTGACCCACTTTTGCACCGCGCAGCCAGAGCAGCAAAGCTGCTTCAGCCGCGCGTCAGAACTAACTGGTACAAGCAGCAAAAATGAAGCAGCAGACGCGATTTTGCTGCTCTTGCTGCGTCCGGTGTGAACGTAGCATGAAAGTGGTGATGGTCTAACTTGAGTAAAGTCTTTCCTTCCTTTTGTTACAGTTTATTTCTATCTGGTAAATACTGTATTACTTGGTCAAAAAAAAACCTTAATTATTCACAAAATAAAGCAAAATGGTGAAAATATAAATCAGTGACTGAATATATCCTGAACACACTTCAAATTAAGATCTAAGCGTCACAGTCTGTGCTGATGTGTCGACATGAGGGGCTTTTTTTCTCTGGAGAATCACAGCAGTTTAACTCTAAGAAAAAAAAAAACATGACTTTTTCAGAAGAGAGCATGAACACGTTTTTTTTTCGATTTAGTGCCAAAACAAGAGCCAAACTGCTGCCAAATTACCAGTGAAGCTGAGGAGGGACAAAAACTGAGGACAGGGAAAGCTACGCTTGTAAAGGGCAAGCTCTATGAAATAGCTCCCGATATAATAATCTATTATATCAGCCTATTTAGTGGGCTTTCTGTGCTTTTGTATCCTGTTATTTTTAATTAACACTTACAGGCATATTTCAACGGTTGCCATGGCAACGTATGAGCATCTGATTTTGAGCATAAAAAAAAAACGGTTTATTGGGGCTCATTTTTAACATGATGAAAGAGAAGAGTGGGGAAAAAGTAGGCAACGTTTCAAAGCTGAAGGCAGGGCTCTATCTGGACTCACCACGTCTTGACTGACTCGTCCAGAGCGGACCTGGAAGTAGTTCCATGTGATGAGCAGAACCAGGAAGAAGGGCAGCATGTAGAAATCCCAGTACCACACCGTGAGCAGAAAAATCTGCAGGAGGAATGGAAATATTAGCACAGCCAAAGAGAAGGAGGACGAGACATCCTGAGCTAACGGTTGATCTGATGAGTAGCATCTTGGAATCATCTTAGCTCTAAACATCAACCATGACCAACTCTAGCTGCAGTAAACCCCTGCTTAAGTGTTGACATTAGGAACATACGCCTAATTGCTATTACACATCCTGTGCACCTTAAAGCTTTGAGTGAATATCAACACTGGAAAAAAATCGAAATCCAGATAAGTTGTTTTTTCTTAAAATAAGTGTATTTGTTCTTGGATTGAGTATGTAAAAGACAAATTTTGCCAATGGAACAAGACAATTTACACTTACAATAAGAAAACACAATTGCATTGTCTTATTTCAGGTGCATTTTATCAAATTTTCTTATTTTAAGAGCAAAAATACTCATTCCATTGGCAAACTATCTCATTTACCTACTCAAATTAAGCGTAAATACACTTAATTTAAGACATTTCTACTTATTTTTTGATCCTTTTTCCAGTGAAAGTCACCTGATGCTGGGATTTCATGTTATAGAACAACAAAAACTAGAATGCAAACAAAGTAAAAAGAATTATTACACGGTTTCCACAACAATTAATGCATATTGAAATGTATTTGATATTTGAGCAAATAATTTGTTACCTGATGAATAAGAAAATGAATAAAATGTAGCCGGACACTGATCCTAAACCTATAACTTTAGTTTAGATTGGAGCATATGAAACAAGTTAAATTCACTTTAAAAACAGACTTCAAATTCAGTCTAATTATAAAGAAAGGTCTCTAAAGATATGCAGCTATAAAAGAAACCAAAAGCCAGTCTGTAAATCATCAGCTGCAAATTCAAATTATGGAATTTGCTGAATGGAAATGTGCACATTTTGATAAGTATCTTTTTTTTTTGCAATAAAAAGTTATCAGAGTGAGATATGGAAAATTGTTTATTTCGCAAAACTGCTATGGAATCTCTTTTTTTTACCCATTAAAACACATGATCATCAGCAAGACTTAACTATTTAGCTAAAAAGACAAAGACGATGACAGGAAGAAGCTGCAGGAGGATAGTTTATTGAGTTATCTAGTAAACAAACGTATTGGTATTACTTTAAATGCATTTCATATTTAATCGAAAACTTTCTGTTGAAATTGCATTTTTCTTAATAAGCAGCTTTGCACACATTTATAATAGAAATCGGCAAATACATGATGCAGTTTTTAGATTCTTGCAAAGTATTCCAGCTTTTCCAGTTCAAGATCTGAATGCTACTGTCAAATATTCATGTCACACTGCAAAAAATGTAAATCTCAAGTAATTTTTTCTTAAATTAAGTGCATTTTTTCTAAAATTAAGGAGGTAAGTGAGACACTTTGCCAATAGAACAAGACAATTTGCATTTAAAATAAGCAAAACACTATTGCATTGTCTTATTTCAAGTGTATAATATCTATTTATCTTATTTTAAGAGTTAAAATACTAATTTCATTGGCAAATCATCTTATTTACCTAATCAAATTAAGGGTAAATACACTTACTTTTAGACTTTTTTACTCATTTTTAGACCATTTTTGCAGTGCACAAAACATCAGAGAGAAAATAAAAATACATGTTTGGGGGTTTAAAATGACCTGTTTTTATTTTTTATTTTGAGCTAATAAAAAAAGAGGAGAACATCTGGTAAAGACATCACTCTCCTCAGAGGCACCGCTGGACATAAAAGTTATCAGATCAGACTGCTCCTGTCTACAGCCGCCGACAGCAGCGCTGGCTTTAATGTGCCGAGCACTCTTCTCTGTGTTATCATAAGCCAGAGCAGAGCCGTGGAGAGGAGGTGGAGGTGGTTTCTCATTGCCAGGGTTATGTTTTATTAGGGAGGACTGAGAGAGCCTGGATTGTGAGGGAAACCAAGTCACGCTTTAGTGGAAACGGATACTCAGATCATACAGATTGTGATAATTGGAGCTCATTTCAACTTGAAAGGCATTACATAGACTTCAGCAGTAAAAAAAAAGGGATCTGGGAATATTATCCAGATCTCAGAAAATACTTGGGAGGGGAAAAGGAGAAAAGGTTAGGAGAGCTACTGAACTCCAAACACTTTCAAACAAGTGTTGGAGGAAGAGTTTGCATGTCTCAAAAAACAAAGCCATCCCACACACTCATTAAACTAAAACATGAATTCAATATTGTCTGATTTCTACTAATTTTAATGAACAACCGAATAAGGGATATTCCTGAGTGGGGAAACGGCTGTGAACATAAATGACCACTTCCTGCTGCAGCACTGCAAAAACGATCTAGAAATACGTACAAATTTCTTAAATTAAGTGTATTTATCCTTATTCTAAGTAGGTAAATAAGATAGTTTGCAAATGGAATAAGTATTTTTACTCTTAAAATAAGATAATTAGATAATATGCACTTGAAATAAGACAATGCAATTGTTTTTTTCTTATTTTAAGCATAAATTGTCTTGTTAAATTGGCAATATGTCTCTTTTACCTCCTCAATTCAAGAACAAATGCACTTATTTTAAGAAAAAATTACTTATCTAGATTTCGATTTTTTCCACTGAGCTACTTTCAGTGAAATTCAAGGATTAATGTGGGGCTTGTTAAACTCCTTTTATTACTTTATTAACATTGAACAAAAGTAAAGAATTTAGTTTACTGGGCAGCTAGAGGGTTTTCAGTTCACCACCTTTAAACATAAAGATATTAAATCGTTTGATTGGTTAGCCAACATGGCGGATAAACAAACTGAAAAGGATAGCGATGAAAAAATACTTTTGAATCTCTGTCAAGTGAGTATTTTAACAGATCAGGAACAGAATCCAGTCGACTAACGGGTCCAAACTCCTGATCCATATGTCCGACATCTCGTCATGATAATAAACATTTTTAGGCTTTTTTTCAGGCCACATAAAGAATCCACCAACCTGAGAGCGATGCATTGCTCCACATCTCTGAGTCACGGATAATAACATCAAAAAACGTGTCAATAAAAAACAAATGTCTCAAGCTCCTGTCAGGTGAGAACTGATCACCTGGTGTGACATCACTGGTTTTGTTTGGTTGCTAAGGCGGTTGCTATGGTGGGTTCTTGGATTAGACTGAACAATATATGACGTTTTAATGGGGTTCATTAACAATAACCGTCCAGATAACCTCATCGTGAAATAGCTAAAGCTCTATTCCTCTTATTAAGTAGCTTTTCATCCCATCTTTAAGTTTACCCTTTTCATTGCTATTGCTAGTAGCACTTAGCTATGGGTCAACTACGTAAAGTGCTTTATAAATATTTAGGATTACAACTAGGGCTGAAACAATTCATCGGATTACTCATCATTAATTGATTATGGAAATAATTATCAACTAATTTATAAATCGATTAAACATCAACTGGAGTATAGAGACTGTAAAACATGCCTTTAGCTGATAGAGCGACCCACTTAGAGCAGTTATACCAAAATTGTAAAAGAATATGGAAACAGTTTGCATTTAAGATAAAAAAAAAAAATGTAGTCTGTCAAAATGTTCTATCCAGAACTCCAAAAATGTAAAAGTTTTAGTTTCATCCGGTTTAGTTTCGCAAAAACTATTTTTTAAGGAACCTTTTTCTAACCGAATGTTAATCGATTAATTGAAAAAAATACAATAAATCCACAGATTATTCAATTTGCAAATGAATCTTTAGTTGCAGCCCTAATTATAACCATTTTTGAAAATCATTTCTATCCTTGTTTCCTCCAGCTTTATGGTTTTGAACGTCATCTTTCGTTTAATTCCTCTAACTGCCTGCAGGGCACTCACTTGATTGGTCAGAACACACCAGTTTGCACATTTTAAAATTTGTGATGCATTCTTTGCAATCACCTGCAAGACACCGGAAAAAAAAAAAACTAAATCTAGATAAGTCATTTTGTCTTAAAATAACTGCATTGGTTCTTGAATTGAGGACTTAAAAGAGATATTTTGCAAATAGAACAAGAAAAAATTACATTTAAAATAAGAAAATACAATTGCATTGTTTTATTTCAAGCGCATATTATCTAAATATCTTATTTTAAGAGTAAAAATATCTAATAAATCTCATTTACCTAATCATATTAAGGGTTAATGCACTACAATTTAATAAATGTTTTCTTATTTCTAGAACGTTTTTCCAGTGTATTTCACTGATTAAATAAACTGCATGTGCAGTTTAGCACCTCTTATTCTGAATCTTTGAAGATCATGCTCTAAGTGTACAACCCTGTTTGGTAAGCAGCGCAAACAAGTGCTGAAGAGAACTTGGATGATGCTGCAGTTTGTTGTTGCTGCCTTGGAGCACCGAGATCATGAGTTTAATCCCAACCTGAGGCCTTTCTGAGATCCTTCCAGGTTATACTATTAAAATGTTACACAGAATTTACCTAGTTTCTCTTCCTGAACCAACAGAGCGCAATTTGTTACCTTATTTTTTTTAAGTACATTATATAGGTTTTTTTTTAGTTTTTTTTTTTTACAGTGTATTAAGGTATTAAACATTAAAAACTTTGTGTCTACGTGTGAAAAGATGGTCATAAACACCCATTAAGATGCTGATGGCATCTCACCCAGCAGCCCACCAAGAATAAAAAGAAGGTTTGGAAAGATGAGCATTAGATGTTATATTGATGTTCTTGGTTTCCCATTTGTTTCCTGATCAAACCTTTTCAACTTAAAGATATTTTATTTTTACCGAACAACGATGCACAGTCAACAACGCTGCAAATTATTCTCAAGTCCTACAGGAACCCCAGAGTGCCTTCCTGCAAGCAATAGGTGTAAAACATAATTGGGAAACCAAATGCAGGAAATTAAAACTCATAATTAGTGTTCACATAATGAGAGACACATTTTAAATATGACTGTTATGTGGGCGCAAATTCACAGTGAATACCAGCCCGGTTAGGAGACGGGGAATCTGGGGAAGTCAGGAGGTACTTTTGCCCAAAAGGTAAACTGAAAACACTTTTTTTTATTTTATTTTAGCGTTTATGGGGAGGACCTCAGCTGTCAGGATTAAGGTGTCTTGCTGATTTAAGGCACATTTCAACTTCTCGTGTGACAACCGGCAGATGGTACAGGTGGTTCATCACTGCATCCTGTGTTGGAGAGTGAAGCTTTGATGCATTATGCTTATGTGGCGGGATTGGGCGGCCATTTATCTCTTCTCACCGATGCTTGACAAGGCAGTGGGCATTAGTGTGAAAACAGGAGTACAGATGGTACTGTCTTTCAAACGCTGCGATGCAAACAGAAGATATGTGTCCTGTATATTGCTCTGATTTTTGCTTGGATGAATCCTGCTTCCCAATACGTGCCTCGACTGTCAGTTAAAACGGGACGATTAACACCACTTTAAAATAAAATGTGAATGCAAGGGGATACTTATGTTTTTTTTCCCTTAAATATATTGTTTTCCATTACATTGTGTGTTTTAATGCAGATTAAATATTTCCCTTTCAAGAGGTTTCTGATTAAACCCCACACTGACCTCTGACCCCTTCCTGTTTGATGCATTTATAGCCATATAAGACTAAATGCACGAGTCCAATCAGATTACAGCTCTACTACAGCTTCTGTTCTTTTTTTTTTTTTTGAGAGAACTGAGCAAACTGGGCTACTGGCAAGACGTCAGCCCTGAAGGGGGGGGCTCCACCCTTTGAGAGCAAACCTTTAGCACCATCTATGGGATGGGAACCGCAAAAACAAAAAGAACTTTCTGTGACCTTGATTGCTTGAATTGTTAATGAAAAACTTGCTGTATGCCATCTTCATCGACTGGGATCTTGGAGAGAAAGAAATGACAAAAATATCTGGCCACACTTTAATTTGCAGTTTAAATTGTACGACTCACAGCCTGCGTTCGGGTTTCTGTCTACACAAATGCATTACGCAGGAGGGAGAAACGGTCATATCTCCGAAGAGCTTCCTAATTGAAACTCAGGCTGAATAACGGGGGGTTCAAATCAAACCGTGCACAGACTGGACGCGGGGTTAATGAGTTGTCAGGAAAGCAGAACAAAAATAGGCCATCTCGACTCCATTGGGACGCCGCTCTCTCCAGCTGAGGCTTAAATCTGCATCCAGGAGACATGCAACACTGAGAGCGTCCACTTCAACAAAGAGCTAGCCAACGGTGTTTGTGCTGAACCCAACGCTGCATTGATTAAGATTCTCTCAGGGAGAGTTCAAGTAAGGGTTGGCCAGACTGCGGTTGTCTTTGCAGGGAAAAAACGAGAGAGAAATGCAGATAGTGTGTTGATAAGAAGTAGGAGCACTAACCAGGAAGGCCAGCAGGCTCCTCTGAACACTCTCCCACTGGAAGCAGCTTTTGATGTACTGCAGAGTAGACGTGATAGCCGCGTAAATCGCTCGTACACGCGCCACATTCCTGGCCAGAGCCTGAAAGATACAGATAATAAACACACAGAGAACAAAAATACTGCATTACTGGAATAGGAAAAACAGCTGTGGTTCCGGTATTTAAAATAACGGGGTGTTTGTGAGATATCTGACTTCTAATCAACAAGAAACATACACTCGAATAGAGAGACATCAAACCTTCCCCCCGTTAAGGATGAATGGTTGTAGTCGGTACAAGAATGTCAGTAATCTGACCTCATTTTGTCAAACATAACTTTAAACATTAAAACAGACAGCAGACCTGCACGTTACAAGCTCAGTCCCTGCTGTATAAGCCAATTTTGGCGTTAGTTAGCAATTGTCTGACAACAATGAGTCTTTGTGGGAAGTACAGACAGTCAGGCACCCTGTCTCGCACCCTGTCTTACACACTGTATATCAAGCTAATGTAGCAGAACAGCAAGCAAGAATTCACTCACTGTTGGGCTCAATTAGGTCTTTGCTCAGCTAATTCACGCAAAAGTCTACAGTTATTCAAAGTTAATAATAGTAAAAAAATAAAACACATATTTGGCAGAAATGTTGTTTATATCTATATATCTATATCTATATATATATATATATATATATATATAGATAAATATAGATATATCTCTCTCTCTCTCTCTCTCTCTCTATATATATATATATATATATATATATATATATATACATACATATACATACATACATACATACATACATATACATATATATATATATATATACACATACATATATACATAAAAAATACATATTTACATATATATACATACATATATACATAAAAAATACATATTTACATATATATACATACATATATACATATACATACATACATACATATATACATATATATACATATATATACACATATATATACATATATACATACATACATACATATATACATATATATACATATATATACACATATATATACATATATACATACATACATACATATATACATATATATACATATATATACACATATATATACATATATACATACATACATACATATATACATACATACATATACACATATATATATACACACATACATATATACATACATATACACATACATATATACATACATACATATACACATATATATATACACACATACATATATACATACATACATATACACATATACACATATACATACATACATATACACATATACACATATACATATATATATATATATATATATATATATATATATAAAATATATATATAGTTTTTTGTAGTTTTATATATATATAAATATATACAGATATATGTAGTGGGTTGTAGTTTTATATATACAGAAAGGATAGAAATATCAGTTTTTTTTATTGTCATTACACAGTCACAAGTACAGAGGAAGGAAAGTAACTCCCCACATTTAATCCATCCCCTTGGGGAGCAGTGGGCTGCCATTGTGCAGCACCCCTGGAGGAGTGTGGGATTAAGGGTCTTGCTCAGGGACCCAGAGTGGCAGTCTGTGGGAGTGGGGCTTGAACTCAGAACTCTGGGTTCCAAGCGCGATTTCTTAACCACTAGGCCACCCACCCACCCTCCCTCCCTCCATCCATCCATCCATCCATCCATCCATCCATCCATCCATCCATCTTCCTCCGCTTATCCGGGGTCGAGTCGCGGGGGCAGCAGCTTAAGAAGGGAGGCCCAGACTTCCCTCTCCCCAGCCACTTCTTCCAGCTCTTCAGGAGGAACCCCAAGGCATTCCCAGGCCAGCCGAGAAACACTGCTCTTCCTGAATCCGAGGTTCGACTATCCGACGGACCCTCCTCTCCAGCACCCCCGAATAGACCTTGCCGGGGAGGCTTAAGAGTGTGACTCCCCTGTAATTGGAGCACACCCTCCGGTCCCCCTTTTTGAACAGGGGGACCACCACCCCAGTCTGCCAATCCAGGGGGACTGCCCCCGATGTCCATGCAACGTTGAAGAGTCGTGTCAGCCAACACAACCCTACAACATCCAGGACCTTGAGGAACTCCGGGCGGATCTCATCCACCCCCGGGGCCCTGCCACCGAGGAGCTTTTTAACCACCTCGGCGACCTCGCCCACAGAGATTGGAGAGCCCAGTCCAGAGTCCCCAGGCCCAGCTTCCTCAATGGAAGACATGTTGGTGGGATTGAGGAGGTCTTCGAAGTATTCCGCCCACCGACCCACAACGTCCCGAGTCGAGGTCAGCAGCACACCATCCCCACTATAAACAGTGTTGGTGCTGCACTGCTTCCCCCTCCCGAGACGCCGGATGGCAGACCAGAATCGCTTCGGAGCCGTACGGAAGTCTTTCTCCATGGCCTCTCCAAACTCCTCCCACACCCGAGTTTTTGCCTCAGCAACCATCCGAGCCGCATGCCGCTTCGCCCGCCGGTACCCATCAGCTGATTCCGGAGTCCCACAGGCCAAAAAGGCCCGATAGGCCTCCTTCTTCAACCTGACAGCATCCCTCACCGGAGGTGTCCACCAACGGGTTCGAGGGTTGCCGCCACGACAGGCACCGACAACCTTGCGGCCGCAGCTCAGATAAGCTGCCTCGACAATGGAGGAACGGAATATGGTCCACTCGGACTAAATGTCCCCCACCTCCCCCGGGATGTGTTCGAAGTTCTGCCGGAGATGGGAGTTAAAGCTCCGCCTAACAGGGGACTCCGCCAGACGTTCCCAGCAGACCCTCACAACACGTTTGGGCCTGCCAGGTCTGACCGGCATCCTCCCCCACCACCGGAGCCAACTCACCACCAGGTAGTGGTCAGTGGAAAGCTTAGCACCTCTCTTCACCCGAGTGTCCAAGACATACGGCCGCAAGTCCGATGAAACGATGACAAAGTCGATCATCGAACTGAGGCCTAGGGTGTCCTGGTGCCAAGTGCACATATGGACACCCTTATGCTCGAACATGGTGTTCGTTATGGACAATCCATGACGAGCACAGAAGTCCAACAACAGAACACCACTCGAGTTCAGATCAGGGCGGCCATTCCTCCCAACCACGCCCCTCCAGGTCTCACTGTCATTGCCCACGTGAGCGTTGAAGTCTCCCAGCAGAACAAGGGAATCCCCAGGAGGGGCACCCTCCAGTACCCCCTCTAAGGACTCCAAGAAGGGTGGGTAATCTGAACTGTTGTTCGGCCCGTAAGCACAGACAACAGTCAGAACCCGTCCCCCCACCCGTAGGCGGAGGGAGGCTACCCTCTCGTTCACCGGGGTAAACCCCAACGTACAGGCACCGAGATGGGGGGCAACAAGTATGCCCACTCCTGCCCGGCGCCTCTCACCGTGGGCAACTCCAGAGTGGAAGTATGTCCAGCCCCTCTCAAGGAGACTGGTTCCAGAACCAGAACCATGTGTTGAGGTGAGACCGACTATTTCTAGCCGGAACCTCTCAGCCTCACACACTAGCTCCGGCTCTTTCCCCACCAGCGAGGTGACATTCCACGTCCCAAGAGCCAGCTTCTGCAGCCGAGGATCGGACCGCCAGGGTCCCCTCCCCCGGCCGCCACCCAACACACATTGCACCCGACCCCTATGGCCCCTCTCACGGGTGGTGGGCCCATGTAAGGGGGGACCCTTGTTTCCTCTTCGGGCTGAGCCCGGCCGGGCCCCATGGGTAAAAGCCCGGCCACCAGGCGCTCGCCATCGTGCCCCCCCTCCAGGCCTGGCTCCAGAGTGGGGCCCCGGTGACCCGCGTCCGGGCGAGGGAACGCTGAATCCAAATATTGTGTTCATCATAGGGGTCTTCGGGCTGCGCTTTGTCTGGTTCCTCACCTAGGACCTGTCTGCCTTGGGTGACCCTACCAGGGGCATAAAGCCACTAGGCCACCACTACCCTGTAATAAATATATATATATATATATATATATATATATATATATATATATATATATATATATATATATATATATATATATATATATATATATATTTTATTTTCTTTTTTTTACATTTTCAACATTTCTTATAAGGATTTATGTCATAAGGCATCACAAAGCATTTAATAGTTGTGTTATAAAGGTGAATGTCAAATTTTTTTTAAACTTCCATCAAACATTCATCTTAAAGTAAAATGTCATAAATATGTATTTCATTAATAAGTTATCCTCCCAAAAATAGAATGCAACATCTGTTTGCCTTTTGAAGTCCACAAACAGGAACCAGTTGTACAGTGAGCGATAACCTCAGTATAAATCCAGCGGTTCTGGCTTTAGAGCACAAAATGGCCAGAATTTTTCAGGTATGTTTGCTCGAAATCACGAAGAAACTGCTTGAATGAATTATTTCAGATATGATCGTATTCTAGATGCGATGAAATACAAATTTGCGGTCCAGTAATATTGTAACCATCCGATTGGACTTGGATTGTCCGTTCTACCAACAGCTGATGTAGAGCTTGGTGATCAATACGATGAAGCAGAGGGAGGGGTGGACAAAACAATACTTTAAAAATGCACAAATAAAAAGGTTCATAGAAACATGTCTACTGTGGGTCTGGACGTAGAATCTGGCTCTACATGAGTCAAAGTTCATCTCATCCTGCTGGTCTGGAGCACTTATTTGAAGTGGAGCTAGTTTCCACTTTCCAGGCTGCAGCCTTTCTTCTAAACATAACAATTTAATTTTTTGTGTTTGCAGAATTTTTTTAATTTACTGAAAAATCACGCATTTACAAACGCTCTTGACACAGTGTGCTTTATCTCTTTAAAATTACAACACATTTCTATTATCTTAATTCAGCAAACTGTCACATATAAATAAATCCAGTTCTAGCGTGATTAGAAAGGCTGCTCACCTGACATTACGGTGCATTTTACCCCATTTTTGTTTTTTAGAGTAACACTCTTTTAAAGGAAAATCTTTTGGTTAAAGACTGGGATTTTATTGCAGGAAAATAGTGATTTATTCCTTCTGTCAATATGATGTCGGTCATAAAATCCACAATCTGGCCTTTATCGAAAAATTAATGAAAGGAAAAAATGAATGAAAGTTACAAAATCATATAAATGTTTCACAATGAGTTATAAAGAGGATGCAGTGAATATGTGGAGTAAGGTTTAAAGATGAGACAAAATGCAAAATACTATAAAAAAAAATTAACTTTTTTCTTCTACCATCCCCATTGTGAAACATATTAATGGCAGCATCATGCTATGGGGTTGTTTCTTTTCCTCTACAGGATAGAAGGGAAGCAGGGTAGTTTGAAAATTAAATGAAGTAAAATTCAAGCCTGAGGATATTCATCTCCAAGGAGAGAAACCTGTCCTTCTTAGAGATTAAATAATTATTTTAAATTATTCTCAGGCATTTAAAGAGACAGATGCCAACATACTGTACAACTATCAAGACTTCAAAGGACTGAAATCATCCATAAGCCACTTTATTCATTGGTTTAAATTCCTTAGCAATGTACCGTGGAGGCAATGTGTGTCTGCAGGTGAATTATTATTTCAAAATCTAATCGAATAGTTGGAACAAACCTTTTTGGAAAATTTCAGATTATCCTCCATGTATCCTCTCTCTTTAGGCTGGAAGGTTCTTATACTTGCTTTGATCTGACAAAAAAAAGCAGAGAAGCGGACAGCATCAAGCTTGTGCTTCAAAGAGTTCCTTCACATTTCATTGTGTCCTTCGCTACAGAGTGAACTTTCACTTACAGGGTTAAAAATAACCTCCAGCTCTAGAGTAATGGACCCCTTTGACAGTCTGTCCAAGTCCTCCTTCTTCAGCGGGTAGGCAAACTGATGTCTCCTTTGGATCTGCAGGACAGAAAGGGCATTAGGTGCTGAACTCAGCCATGAACCTGACCGGCAGTCAGGCTGGATTACATCTTAGCAAGTCTTCAACACACTAAGGTGTTATCCCCCTCTTCACTTTAATTTAGGCCCAAAGTGTAAATAGATTGGTCTGCAACAGAGTTGGAGTTTACCGAAAGCAGTGGAATGGCAACTTTTCCCAGAAAGTCTGGCGGCTTGTCACCGTCGTCATCAAAGACGGACACCATGAGAACATCATGAATGTCTTTGACAGGCCTGTAAAGAAATAAAAGGAGGGGTCAGGTATCAACACACCAGAGAAAAGAATCCTGTTTCTTTTTTGAACTAGTAAAGAAACTAACAGAGTGAAGACTTGGTTCCACTCTGGATTGAGGTTCTTAGAGACTGTGTAGGTCTGCAGTCTGTCATTGCCCAGCTCCAACACGCAGAATGGGTCGCTTTTCCCTGAAGACAAGAACAAACGAGGCTAAAAAAACAAAAGCTCCTGGGGAAAAAAATCGATGGCAAATGTGAAAATAAAACCCAAACATGTAATTACCATTCAAATCTGCAGCAATCAGGTCTGAAGCCTTGATGACTTTGACTTGAAGCAAACCGACATCCCGGAGGTTCTTTAGGGATCTTTTTAAACACTAAAGAGACAAAAAGAAGACAGGGAGAACTTTAGAAGCATAACTGATTCAAATAAAATAAAATAAAAAAAACACAAATAAAGGCATAAACCAAAAATACTTTAAATTACTTTGGAGTTTTTTGTTTCATCACATACACAAACAAGAACAAACCCATCATACGTCCTGCTCCTATTGGTTGAGACATGTTACTAAGGTCTCTCTCCTTCACCTCACTTCTTCGACCAAACCCTCAATCAGAACAAGTTTTCACAACACATGGGACACAACAGTCAACCCAAATAAATACTCAGATTACAAGCAGGATTCAAGTCCCTGCAAGTCGGCTCATACTTTTAGGCATTAAGTGTAACCAGCCTAGCAAATCTGACAGTCAAACCCCTGTAATAGTTAACGCGAAAGCTTTACCCAACAACATTTAAGCGGATTGTAACAGAGAGTTTTATCCAAAACAGTATTTTGCCTCTTTTTGTCTTTAAGAACCACCTTCAAGTATAGTTTACCAACTTGTTGATCCTGGACTCTGATTTTTGCATGCTCCTGATTTCTATGAAGGAACTTCTCTAGAAGGACATTGTCAGCTTTAGGTTGATTTTATTACAAACTATATAGTAAGTCATCTGAATTGAAGAACGGCTGCTGGTAAAAAATCAATTTCTAAGCAGATGCTGTCGCCTGTGAAACATTATTTTAAGCAATAATTGTTACTAATTAATTAATTTAATGATTCTTTGGTAGAACTGGGTGATATGGGGCATAAATAATATTCCAATAACTGTTTATATCTGCATAACAATAAATAATATATTTCCATTTTGCTTCTTTTTTCGCACTGATAAAATAAAACCGTTGAATCAAAGCTTTGTTCCAGATAAAATGCAGGCAAATTGAAATGGCTAATAAATAACATACTGGCATAAACTAAACATTAATCCTCCTAAAAACGCATGAAGAAGTGAGGTGTTGAGACGGGGAGGGAGGCGAAGCTACAGGAAGTTCAGCAACCCTAACCCTAAATGAGGAAGAAAAAAGGAGAACTGCGTCTATGATGAATATGACAACGTAGAGCATCTTAATAATAATAATAATTTAGTCTCATCTTATATGCCTTTTAATAATCTCCATAATTGTTTTATATATATTGCTAAGCCGTACTCTTATGTGAAACATCTCTGAGCCAAACAGCGTTCTCCGTACGAGGAGTTAACATGTGGAGCTTCCTTCCTGCAGAACTTAACATTAACGTGTGGTTTGGTTACTTCCGAGTAGGAGCAGCTATGAGGTCATCACTGACTGACTAATTCTTCCTCTTAACAGTAATGGAAGTCATCCCTGTTCTGAATGAGTTTATGCCTACATTTTGTTTTATATTTGCATTTCAAATCCTGCATCTTGTTTATTTTATGCAACCGAATGTCCAGCTAGGGACAGACATAAATTAGTTTAGGCTATATATGTTAAACTATAAGGTATTTATATATACAATCAAATGAATATATACATTTAAAGGTATACTATGCAACCGGTGTTGATTTTCCAGCGAGGCTCCCCCCAGAGGGCGAAAGTAAAAGTGCACTGTCGTAAATATGCACAGCTGTTCTCCTGGTTTCTCCGTCAAGCCAGGCGCGGTTGTTTTGAGTTTAGCAGACAGGCGAACGCAACGAATCACCATGTCTACTGCGGTAAGTGACTATTTTGTTCCAATTTTCGAGTTTGAAAATTTCGCTGTTTTCTCGCTTGTTCCGCCATGATAACTGCACAAATATCGCCACTGCGCTAGCAACGAGCATGCCTTTCACTGGGGGCGTGTAGCAGTTCTCGCCGTAAAGCAAGACCGACTCTCGCGATGCACGAGACTTCTGAGCCTGTGGGTGCGGGCCGAGGGCTCCTGCAATTGCAAGTACGGTATTTCCCCCACAGACCACCAGGGCGGCAGAGAAAACCTTTGTTCGACCTAAAATGACTCATTTAATCATCCAAAACGTCATGGAACACAATAATTAACTGAAAAATGTTGCATAGTATGCCTTTAAGAAAGGGATCCAAAAGCAATTTATCCATTTTCTAGACCAGCGTGCCCTTCAGGGTCATGGAGTACAGGCTGCTAATCCATTATAGGGCGTCACACAGACCAGACAACCATGCACACACACACAGCTTTGTTTTCATGACATATGAGGACATTTCATTGACTTGCATTCATTTTATATGGCCTAACCCAGACCCTTACCCTAACCCTAACTATTACCAAGATGAACCTAATCCTAACCTAAACTGAATTCACACCTTAATCCTAAACCTAACCCTAACTCAAAGAACAGAACTTTACCATATAGGGACCAGTTGAATGTCCTCATATGTAATTTTGTATTTTTCTAAATATTTCCCTCACATTGTAGGTAAAACAAGACCACACACACACACACACACACCCAGGGCAATTTTGAGAGACCAATCAACCCAACGTTCATATTGTTTTGGACAAACCAGGAGGACATGCAGCATTTATACAGAAAAGTTCCTTGGTCAGGGTTTGCGCCCAGAGCTGCTTGCTGTACGCTGTATTTATGCTAACTGTGCTAAGCAAAGAGTCTAAATGGGAATTACATGGAAAATTTTGGCCTATGCTCCTTATTAAATTAGTAACCAACCCCTATGGGAGTAAAAATTTCCTGAACACGGTTGATTATAGTACTTTAAAAAATGGAAATTTGTTCATATCGTATTCGGGCTGAAAATCCGGAAAAAAAATAAAATAAAGACAAAGAAACAAGAAAGAGTGTTGAAAAAACTAGCTGAGTCCCTCTGAGACATTACAGAGGTGCTTTGAATGGAGGGTGTTAACACCAGGTGAGCGGACAGTTTGAATACTGACATAATTCTCCAGCTGGTTCTGTCGTTCTAGAGGTTCATCAAGCGGCGCGGCGTTGATGTCAGAGATGGAAACGCCGCTGCAGGCTTTTAGTGTGATCAGGAAGACCAAGGATCCTCTGCTGGAGCTCAGGTTGGGTCTGAAACACTGCTGCATATTGAAAGGCATCTGGGACAGGTCCACCTCACACCTGTGCAGACACACACAGACATACACAGCGCCGTTCCATAATGTTAAATCGGTCCACCTACTCAAAAAAAAGACAGAATCCATATCTGCGCTTTCTGTTTATAGAGTTAGATCAACCAACAGTAGCGTGTAGTCTACTTTAGCAAAGATCAAACAGTGTAAGCTAAGAAAATAACTATACAAATCAATACTTGGGGATTTAAGTGAATGTGCAGCAGTTTTAAAAAGTATTAAAAATTAAAAATGATCATAACATACAGACACAAAAACTAAATATAATAACGTTTATATATATATATATACCGTAAATCCTCTAATATAGGCCCGGGCCTTTATTTCACTCAAGTGCATCGCGGTCCAGGCCTTTATTGGAAAGAGGCCAGAATTAGAGACAGGCCCCTATTGCTATTTGAGCAAAACAGACTACCAGTGGAATGAATAAAAATGAGATTTTGTGTCTATTTGAACCTATAAAACACTAGGTTCATTTATTGAAAAAGTACAGTTACCATGTCTCGCTTGGTTTGAAGTAAAAAAGAAAAAAAAAATCCTCCAATTCTGTTTAATCCTCCTCCTCAGTTTCCTCCTCCTCTTCATCTCTCCCTTCAATCTCCTCATCACTGGCGCTCCTCCTCATGTTCTGCTGCGTGTCTGTTCTCTTCCTCGCGCAGACGGGCAGCAGTCAGGGCCTGTCGTCCAGCAGCGCAGGGCTGTGGTACTTGTATGTTACTTACTACCACAAGTATAATGTTGAGGTATGCCCAGAAAAAACGTTTATAGCCCCGGCCTGTATGAGAGACCGGCCATTATTTACCTCCTCTGACAGCGAGACCGGCCAATGTTAGAGTCCCGGCCGCTATTGGAATACAGGCCAATATTAGAGAATTTACGGTATATATATATATATACACGTATATGTACACACACATATATATATATATATATATATATATATATATATATATATATATATATATATATATATATATATATACACACACTTTAGATATATATATATATATACATATATATATATATATATACGTATAAATATATATATATACGTATAAATATATATATATACTTATAAATATATATATACGTATAAATATATATATATATATATATATATATATATATATATATATATATATATATATATATATATATATATATATATATATATATATATATATATACGTATAAATATATATATATATACGTATAAATATATATATATATACGTATAAATATATATATATATACGTATAAATATATATATATATACGTATAAATATATATATACGTATAAATATATATATATATATATATATATATATATATGTATTAGTGCTGTCAAAATTATCGCGTTATTATCGTGTTAACGCGAGGCCATTTTAACGGCGATAATTTTTTTAACATGAGATTAACGCTATGTGGTTTTATGGTACAATTTTCCAAGTACATCCCGCTGCAGCCTGCGGGAAGGCGGGGCTATTTTCCCCCAGTCTATGCATTTCTCATAGGCTTCGAGAGCGGAGCTCCTCAAGGGAAAAAGACGCTCATACACTGGGTGACGCTAGTGCCTTTTCTTTAAGCCCCACCACCAACAAACAAGTTGAGTGTCTGGTAACTAGTAGCAACCTGAAATACGCTGAGAAAACAGATTACTGAGGTGAAATGGAATCTGCTACGGCACTCTTGCTGTCTGTGTACGCCACAGGTCGGTATCGTGTGTGTGTGTGTGTGTGTGTGTGTTGGGTGTGTTCTCATTTTTGTTAAGAGGCTGAAAAGTAACTTTCTAGAGCATAGACTACCTCCATCTAGTGATGTCGGTCTATTGATTTTGATGTATTGATTGAAAATTGTTCATTATTATCTTGGTTAATTAACATCTAATGTTAACTGTACTACATTTTATAGCAGTAGGGTAAAATGCTTGTCTTTGTTCAAAACACTGTATTAACTGTAAAGACTGTCTTTTACATCAGCCTGTTTTCAGGGCCTTTTTTTTGGCTACATATTTGTTATTTTTTGCTACATGCCTCCCCATCTTCTTGCCATATGTTTCTATGGCATAAATCAGTGTCTGTGACCTGTTTTCATTTTAAAAAAAGAACATTGGCACAAACCTAGCCTGTATGTATTTTTTGTATGTCATCGAGGGTATTTTAATGATTTTCAATCAGAAAAAGAATTTGCGATTAAAATGCGATTAATCGCGAGTTAACTCAGGCATTGATGCGATTAATCGCGATTAAAAAAATTTAATCGAGTGACAGCACTAATATATATACGTATACATATATATATATATATATATACGTATGCATATATATATATATATATATATATATGTATACATATATATATATGTATGCATATATATATACGTATGCATATATATATATATATATGTATACATATATATATACGTATGCATATATATATATATATATGTATACATATATATATACGTATGCATATATATATATATATATATATATATATATATATATATATATATATATATATATATATATATATATATATATGTATACATATACACTATATTGCCAAAAGTATTTGCTCACCTGCCTTGACTCACATATGAGCTTAAGTGACATCCCGTTCCTAATCCATAGGGTTCAATATGACGTCGGTCCACCCTTTGCAGCTAGAACAGCTTCAACTCTTCTGGGAAGGCTGTCCACAAGGTTTAGGAGTGTGTTTATGGGAATTTTGGACCATTCTTCCAGAAGCGCATTTGTGAGGTCGCACACTGATGTTGGACGAGAAGGCCTGGCTCTCAGTCTCCGCTCTAATTCATCCCAAAGGTGTTCTATCGGGTTGAGGTCAGGACTCTGTGCAGGCCAGTCAAGTTCATCCACACCAGACTCTGTCATCCATGTCTTTATGGACCTTGCTTTGTGCACTGGTGGACAGTCATGTTGGAAGAGGAAGGGGCCAGCTCCAAACTGTTCCCACAAAGTTGGGAGCATGGAATTGTCCAAAATGTCTTGGTATGCTGAAGCATTCAGAGTTCCTTTCACTGGAACTAAGGGGCCAAGCCCAGCTCCTGAAAAACAACCCCACACCATAATCCCCCCTCCACCAAACTTTACACTTGGCACAATGCAGTCAGACAAGTACCGTTCTCCTGGCAACCGCCAAACCCAGACCCGTCCATCAGATTGCCAGATGGAGAAGCGCGATTCGTCACTCCAGAGAACGCGTCTCCACTGCTCTAGAGTCCAGTGGCGGCGTGCTTTACACCACCGCATCCGACGCTTTGCATTGCACTTGGTGATGTATGGCTTGGATGCAGCTGCTCGACCATGGAAACCCATTCCATGAAGCTCTCTGCGCACTGTTCTTGAGCTAATCTGAAGGCCACATGAAGTTTGGAGGTCTGTAGTGATTGACTCTGCAGAAAGTTGGCGACCTCTTCGCACTATGCGCTTCAGCATCCGCTGACCCCGCTCCGTCAGTTTACGTGGCCTACCACTTCGTGGCTGAGTTGCTGTCGTTCCCAAACACTTCCATTTTCTTATAATACAGCTGACAGTTGACTGTGGAATATTTAGGAGCGAGGAAATTTCACGACTGGATTTGTTGCACAGGTGGCATCCTATCACAGTTCCACGCTGGAATTCACTGAGCTCCTGAGAGCGACCCATTCTTTCACAAATGTTTGTAAAAACAGTCTGCATGCCTAGGTGCTTGAATTTATACACCTGTGGCCATGGAAGTGATTGGAACACCTGATTCCAATAATTTGGATGGGTGAGCAAATACTTTTGGCAATATAGTGTATATATACGTATGCATATATATATATATATATATATATATATGTATACATATATATATATACGTATGCATATATATATATATATATATGTATACATATATATATACGTATGCATATATATATATATATATATATGTATACATATATATATATACGTATGCATATGTATATATATATACGTATGCATATATATATATATATATATATATATATATATACGTATGCATATATATATATATATATATATATATATATATACGTATGCATATATATATATATATATATATATGCATATATATATATATATATATATGCATACATATATATATACGTATGCATATATATATATATATATGCATACGTATATATATATATGCATACATATATATATATATATATGCATACGTATATATATATATATGTATACATATATATGCATACGTATATATATATGTATACATATATGTATACATATATACACTATATTGCCAAAAGTATTTGCTCACCCATCCAAATTATTGGAATCAGGTGTTCCAATCACTTCCATGGCCACAGGTGTATAAATTCAAGCACCTAGGCATGCAGACTATTTTTACAAACATTTGTGAAAGAATGGGTCGCTCTCAGGAGCTCAGTGAATTCCAGCGTGGAACTGTGATAGGATGCCACCTGTGCAACAAATCCAGTCGTGAAATTTCCTCGCTCCTAAATATTCCACAGTCAACTGTCAGCTGTATTATAAGAAAATGGAAGTGTTTGGGAACGACAGCAACTCAGCCACGAAGTGGTAGGCCACGTAAACTGACGGAGCGGGGTCAGCGGATGCTGACGCGCATAGTGCGAAGAGGTCGCCAACTTTCTGCAGAGTCAATCACTACAGACCTCCAAACTTCATGTGGCCTTCAGATTAGCTCAAGAACAGTGCGCAGAGAGCTTCATGGAATGGGTTTCCATGGTCGAGCAGCTGCATCCAAGCCATACATCACCAAGTGCAATGCAAAGCGTCGGATGCGGTGGTGTAAAGCACGCCGCCACTGGACTCTAGAGCAGTGGAGACGCGTTCTCTGGAGTGACGAATCGCGCTTCTCCATCTGGCAATCTGATGGACGGGTCTGGGTTTGGCGGTTGCCAGGAGAACGGTACTTGTCTGACTGCATTGTGCCAAGTGTAAAGTTTGGTGGAGGGGGGATTATGGTGTGAGGTTGTTTTTCAGGAGCTGGGCTTGGCCCCTTAGTTCCAGTGAAAGGAACTCTGAATGCTTCAGCATACCAAGACATTTTGGACAATTCCATGCTCCCAACTTTGTGGGAACAGTTTGGAGCTGGCCCCTTCCTCTTCCAACATGACTGTGCACCAGTGCACAAAGCAAGGTCCATAAAGACATGGATGACAGAGTCTGGTGTGGATGAACTTGACTGGCCTGCACAGAGTCCTGACCTCAACCCGATAGAACACCTTTGGGATGAATTAGAGCGGAGACTGAGAGCCAGGCCTTCTCGTCCAACATCAGTGTGCGACCTCACAAATGCGCTTCTGGAAGAATGGTCAAAAATTCCCATAAACACACTCCTAAACCTTGTGGACAGCCTTCCCAGAAGAGTTGAAGCTGTTCTAGCTGCAAAGGGTGGACCGACGTCATATTGAACCCTATGGATTAGGAACGGGATGTCACTTAAGCTCATATGTGAGTCAAGGCAGGTGAGCAAATACTTTTGGCAATATAGTGTATGTATACATATATATATACGTATGCATATATATATATATATATATATATATATATATATATATATATATATATATATATATATATATATATATATATGTATACATATATATATACGTATGCATATATATATATATATATGTATACATATATATATACGTATGCATATGTATATACAGGTGCTGGTCATAAAATTAGAATATCATGAAAAAGTAGATTGATTTCAGTAATTCCATTTAAAAAGTGAAACTTGTATATTATATTCATACATTACATACAAACTCATATATTTCAGATGTTTATTTTGTTTAATTTTGATGATTACAAATGACAACAAATGAAAATCTCAAATTCATCATATCAGAAAATTAGAATATTGTGAAAAGGTTCAAAATTGATGGCCCCTGGTGCCACACTCTAATCAGCTAATTAACTCAAACCACCTGCAAAAGCCTTTAAATGGTCTTTCAGTCTAGTTCTAGAGGCTACACAATCATGGGGAAGACTGCTGACTTGACAGTTGTCCAAAAGACGACCATCGACACCTTGCACAAGGAGGGCAAGACACAAAAGGTCATCGCTAAAGAGGCTGGCTGTTCACAGAGCTCAGTGTCCAAGCACATTAATAGAGAGGCGAAGGGAAGGAAAAGATGTGGTCGAAAAAAGTGTACAAGCAAGAGAGATAACCGCACCCTGGAGAGGATTGTGAAACAAAACCCATTCAAAAATGTGGGGGAGATTCACAAAGAGTGGACTGCAGCTGGAGTGAGTGCTTCAAGAACCACCACACACAGACGTATGAAAGACATGGGTTTCTGCTGTCGCATTCCTTGTGTCAAGCCACTCTTGAACCACAGACAGCGTCAGAAGCGTCTTGCCTGGGCTAAAGAGAAACAGGACTGGACTGCTGGTGAGTGGTCCAAAGTCATCTTCTCTGATGAAAGTAAATTTTGCATTTCCTTTGGAAATCAAGGTCCCAGAGTCTGGAGGAAAAGAAGAGAGGCACTTCATCCACGTTGCTTGAAGTCCAGTGTAAAGTTTCCACAGTCAGTGATGGTTTGGGGTGCCATGTCATCTGCTGGTGTTGGTCCATTGTGTTTTCTGAGGTCCAGGGTCAACGCAGCCACATACCAGGAAGTTTTAGAGCACTTCATGCTTCCTGCAGCTGACCAACTTTTTGGAGATGCAGATTTCATTTTCCAACAGGACTTGGCACCTGCACACAGTGCCAAAGCTACCAGTACCTGGTTGAAGGACCATGGTATCCCTGTTCTTAATTGGCCAGCAAACTCTCCTGACCTTAACCCCATAGAAAATCTATGGGGTATTGTGAAGAAGAAGATGCAATACACCAGACCCAACAATTCAGAAGAGCTAAAAGCCACTATTAGAGCAACCTGGGCTATCATAACACCTGAGCAGTGCCACAGACTGATCGACTCCATGCCACGCCGCATTGCTGCAGTAATACAGGCCAAAGGAGGCCCAACTAAATACTGAGTGCTGTACATGCTCATACTTTTCATGTTCATACTTTTCAGTTGGCCAACATTTCTATAAATCCTTTGTTTTTATTGGTCTTCAGTAATATTCTAATTTTCTGATATGATGAATTTGAGATTTTCATTTGTTGTCATTTGTAATCATCAAAATTAAACAAAATAAACATCTGAAATATATGAGTTTGTATGTAATGTATGAATATAATATACAAGTTTCACTTTTTAAATGGAATTACTGAAATCAATGTACTTTTTCATGATATTCTAATTTTATGACCAGCACCTGTATTTATATATGTATACATATATATATACGTATGCATATATATATATATATATATATATATATATATATATATATATATATATATATATATATATATATATGTATACATATATATACGTATGCATATATATATATATATATATATATATGTATACATATACACTATATTGCCAAAAGTATTTGCTCACCTGCCTTGACTCACATATGAGCTTAAGTGACATCCCGTTCCTAATCCATAGGGTTCAATATGACGTCGGTCCACCCTTTGCAGCTAGAACAGCTTCAACTCTTCTGGGAAGGCTGTCCACAAGGTTTAGGAGTGTGTTTATGGGAATTTTTGACCATTCTTCCAGAAGCGCATTTGTGAGGTCGCACACTGATGTTGGACGAGAAGGCCTGGCTCTCAGTCTCCGCTCTAATTCATCCCAAAGGTGTTCTATCGGGTTGAGGTCAGGACTCTGTGCAGGCCAGTCAAGTTCATCCACACCAGACTCTGTCATCCATGTCTTTATGGACCTTGCTTTGTGCACTGGTGCACAGTCATGTTGGAAGAGGAAGGGGCCAGCTCCAAACTGTTCCCACAAAGTTGGGAGCATGGAATTGTCCAAAATGTCTTGGTATGCTGAAGCATTCAGAGTTCCTTTCACTGGAACTAAGGGGCCAAGCCCAGCTCCTGAAAAACAACCTCACACCATAATCCCCCCTCCACCAAACTTTACACTTGGCACAATGCAGTCAGACAAGTACCGTTCTCCTGGCAACCGCCAAACCCAGACCCGTCCATCAGATTGCCAGATGGAGAAGCGCGATTCGTCACTCCAGAGAACGCGTCTCCACTGCTCTAGAGTCCAGTGGCGGCGTGCTTTACACCACCGCATCCGACGCTTTGCATTGCACTTGGTGATGTATGGCTTGGATGCAGCTGCTCGACCATGGAAACCCATTCCATGAAGCTCTCTGCGCACTGTTCTTGAGCTAATCTGAAGGCCACATGAAGTTTGGAGGTCTGTAGTGATTGACTCTGCAGAAAGTTGGCGACCTCTTCGCACTATGCGCGTCAGCATCCGCTGACCCCGCTCCGTCAGTTTACGTGGCCTACCACTTCGTGGCTGAGTTGCTGTCGTTCCCAAACACTTCCATTTTCTTATAATACAGCTGACAGTTGACTGTGGAATATTTAGGAGCGAGGAAATTTCACGACTGGATTTGTTGCACAGGTGGCATCCTATCACAGTTCCACGCTGGAATTCACTGAGCTCCTGAGAGCGACCCATTCTTTCACAAATGTTTGTAAAAACAGTCTGCATGCCTAGGTGCTTGAATTTATACACCTGTGGCCATGGAAGTGATTGGAACACCTGATTCCAATAATTTGGATGGGTGAGCAAATACTTTTGGCAATATAGTGTATATATACGTATGCATATATATATATATATGTATACATATATATATACGCATGCATATATATATATATATATATATAAATATATATATATTTTTTTTTTTTTTTTCTCTGATAGTCTAACTTTGATTTTCTATTATCTGTTATCTAGCTCTCTCCTTTTTTGGACATGTACCTTTAAATCAATCAGTACCTACATTGCTACACAATAATCAAATTATATGAGACTTAGAAGCATGAAATAAAAGGAGAAAAGGTGATGAAGAGAACGTTTATGGTATTACTGCTTGGATGAGGCTCTGAATGCACCTTAACCCAGGGGGTCATACAGTATGTTACCACTGGGCCATGACCTGAGGTCCCACTGGGTAGTAAGACAGTGAATCTCTAGGGTGAGGTTAAAACATATGATAGAGAAGGCAGAGCTACGATATTTATATCAGTTTAAGATTTACTACCAGTATTTTAATCCAGTGTATGCAGTAAACAAATGTTTACGTTTTAATTTTAATTTTAGATAGATTGAATCAAGCACTGGGAAATATTTAAAGCTTATGGATCTCCTTTCCAAACCTAAACCTGATTCAAACTTAAATGAGTTTCTCCCTGAACACCGGGCTGCGACCATCGCTTAAAATAATGTTGTTCACTGAGGTTTTCTCCACCGATGGAGGAACCCTGAGTTTGACTAAAATCTCAAGGCAGTCAGTTACACTTTATTTCATTTAAAGATATTGGAGGAAAGGCAGTGTAATAAACACTTTTAAGAATTTATTGTATAATATTAACAATAATGCCAGAAAATAGGCCCACATAGAGAGTGAAGAACAGTCACTCACGTTGCCAAGCGCTCCTCATTCCTGCGGGATTCTTTGGACCACAGCTCCACCTCCAGGATCTGTGCAGCATTCAGGAAATGCTTCATGGTGAATCTTTCTCTCCACTGAGGATTGGCCACTTTGCAGTGATTCTGAATAAAAAGAGAACATGAAAGGTAAACAAAAACAGCCCGACCTGCTTCAGCTAACATCAACAGAACAATTAGTGATGGTGTGCTTTGTTTTTGTTCTAGTATTTATAAAGATAGGAGCCATTGAGAGTCAGCCAGCTTTCTCTAGAGAATACATAATACTTGAAAGATTTAGTGTGTAGCCTGTGTACATTTGTGGCCTGAGCGGATGCAGAAAGAGGCTTAAAACAAATTAGACAGAGATTCAAGTGGGCAGGTGAAAAACAAAACACATAAAGAAGAATGAGGAGGAGAGGAAAACCACCTTGCTTTTAAACTGCTGCTCTCCCAGTTTGAAGCGAACAAACAGATGACCTGTCTGGCTGTCCAGAAGCAGCCCCCGACCTTCAACCAGTATCACTGACAAAACGGACGTCCAAAGCTGGCTCTTCTTCAGTGCATCAGACAACCTAGAGTTCTGGGAACTCCCTCCCTGTAACAGAGGGTGCAGGTCCAAATGAGACAGACAGAATGTGTAAAGAAGAATGGAAGTTGGGAGAGAGAACAAAAATCAATAAAGTTTAATCAAATCTCCAAAGACAGGCACATAAAGTGTAGAAGAAACACCTGAAGACAGAAAAATCAACAGCAAACCAGTTTACTGAGTGGAAAACAGTATTTGATTCAGAGCTTTTAATGGACACCTCAAAGAAAAACATTAAACATTTAAAATGCTAATGAACCTCATTTCGAACCTTTTTTAATTCCATAGAACAGCTTTATTAGGCCTGCTATGCTTCACTATTTTAAAACCTGACACCAACGGTTTGCTCACACTCACAAACAGGCTTAAACTGGATTGCAACTGGACTTTCATTCTGGATTTTTGTTTTTTTTAAGACGTGTACCTTCTGTTTACTGGCAGCACCCAACGTTTGCTCTGCTTCAAACAAAGAACTTTCCAATTTAAGCTTGTGGTTTTCATCACCCGGATGACTGAGAATATACACAAACAGGTATCTCACACTATTTCTATTGTTTAATGTCCTTTTTTTGGGATGCACAAAGAAGTTCCGCTTCTATGGTTGTCCAGATAGTCCACAAAGGTTCTTACCTTGCCCTCCCCCTGCCTGTTGCTGAACACTGCTGGTCAGCTGACAACGAAAAAGCTAACTTTCTTATAAGCAACACGGATAGAAATTAGGGATGCACGATATTGGGATTTTGGCCGATATCCGATATGCCGATATTTTAAAACTCATGTAGCCGATAACCGATATCGATACCGATGTTAAAGCTGGACAAAAATAAGTAGTCATTGACAATAGCAGTTTTGTTATCCATTTCTGACACTTTGAAAAATAATATACTCAAATATATTTTCATACGCTGATATCAAATTGATTTTTAAAAACGCGGTATCGATCTATTTTACTTTCAAAATCTCGTGAAATTTCATCGTTCTGTTACAAACTCTCGTGATATTTTGCAAATTCTTGTGAGATTTTGTTAGTAAAATAGATCGATACCGCGTCAATATATCAACATATAAAAATATGGCAACATTTCGTGAATTTTCGGGGGATTTCGTAGCATAACGATGACATATAGCAATATTTCATTAGTAAAAGAGATTGATATGGTGTTTTTAAATGGCAATATATCAGCATATGAAGATATTGTGATTTTTAATGTATCAATATTTTTTCCTCGTCTTTAGAAGTTTTTAAGTCTGTAAAAAAGAAGTTTTTGAGGAAGAAGAAGTAGTATTTTATTTTATTTTTAGACTTTAGAAACTCAGAAGCTGATCAAATATCGGGTTAAATATCGGTGGGGTGGCCGATGTCCGATATTCAGTTTTAAGGCCGATACCGATAGGGGGCCGATTATATCGTGCATCCCTAATAGAAATGTTTATTTTTTTAAAGTCTGGAAAAATGCGAACAGTCATGGTGTGAAGAGGAGGGTGACCCATCACTGTAAACAACACACAATGGTATTTTAAATTGACTGGCGGTACGCTATAATCCTCCACAACCTGCTGCCTGAGTGGATCAACCTGTGGATGGGGGTATATTAGGGTTGTGCAAAATAATCGTCATGATGATGCATCGTGATTCTAATTTTCGTGATCTACTGCATCGATTCTTGACGCCAAGTATCGATTATTAATTTAAAAAAATGCATAAATAGAATTGCATGAATGGTTGGCGAACATCAGCCAAAAACAAGTGTAATACAACTTCCAGTCCAGTAGATGTCGCTGCGGATGTGTTGACGCACGTTGCCTTGTGTCACAAGCATTTCCGGCTGCGGGATACTGCGCCGAGTCATTCAAAAACAAAACATGGAGGAGAAAATATTGCAATGCATCGCAATAATTCAAGTATCGTGATACACCAAAGTCTACAGTTGAGTAAAAGTTTATAGGTCCCAAAAAAAGAAAAGGAATTAGGATTCGCTTCCAGCTTCGCTGCATCTTCACAGTTATAAGGTTAACAACGTAGTTACCTAAAAGCTTCTAAACAAGGGCAGAAATGTAGTTAACGTGCATCAACATGGTCTCAGATATCCTCGCTAGCAGTTTGCAAAGCTCATGCACCATGCGTAGCAAGCAGCTAAGGAAGCCACAAAACATGCATTTAGAAACTGCTCCGGGTTTAGCTTCCCTTCGGAACACAGCGGTCAGACTCTTCCTAAAGGACTGCGTTAGGAGTTATCTACATGATGCCTGAGCTACAAAATCATCCAGGATTTTAAAATATTGTCCCATTTTCGGAAGCGTAATGCCTGCATTTTGAATATCACCGTAATAAAAATATTAACTGCTCAGGTTACTTTAACTTTGGGTTAATATGAAAGAAGATGACTCATTGAAAGAGAAAATTGAATTTAAATTGATCAAAAAAACTTAAAATTAAATAGATCTGTTGATCTAAATCAGAAAATAAATGTGTTTTTGTCTTTACAAGATATCTGCCAAAATGTTTGAGCAGTCTGATGAGAATGAAAGTGAGACTAGATTTTTGTTTTTTACTGCCGTCATCAACTTCTTTTAATTGTTTTTTTTTTTTTCACGTTTTGGCAGATACCGATTAAAAAGCTGAACAAGTTGATTATTGTTCATTGTCTGTCCAATGTGTTCCCTCCACCATGCCTTACCCTAGCACTTCGTTTTCGGGGCCACTTCTGATGACAGGGGCATGCATGTTAAGTGCAAAACAAAATGGCACTGGGGTTAGTAGGCCAAACAAAGAACACTTAAAATATTAAAAACAGACAATAAAAAAAGACAAAAAAAAAAAGCAAGCACAACTTCTCTCAAATCTAAGGTTATACATTTCAGGACAGTTGCCTAAATCAATTAGTTCTTATAGGTAAATAATGACCTATGACATGCTGAACAATGTTTGTAGACAATGACTAAGTCACAGCAGTGACTGAAAATTAAGTGAACCTCAATGGCAACAATTCAGAGACCTTCTGATGAGTTCAGATGCAGCTTTTCACTATAAGGCTGCGTTCACACACCACAGGAAAACGCAACCCATCCGATTTTTTCTGAACATAATGAAGAAAGGAAGGAAGGAAGGGAGGAAGGAAGAAAGGAAGGAAGAAAGAACGGACGGAAGCAAGGAAGGAAGGAAAGAAGGACGGACTGAAGCAAGGAAGGAAGGAAGGAAGGAAGGAAGGAAGGACGGACGGAAGGAAGGAAGGCAGGAAGCAAAGAAGGACGGACAGTCGGACGGACGGACAGAAGGAAGGAAGCAAGGAAGGAAGGAAGGAAGGAAGAAAGGACGGACGGACGGAAGGACGGATGGAAGCAAGGAAGGAAGGAAGGAAGGAAGGAAGCAAGGAAGGAAGGACAGACGGAAGGAAGGAAGGCAGGAAGCAAAGAAGGACGGACAGTCGGACGGACGGACGGACGGAAGGAAGGAAGCAAGGAAGGAAGGAAGGAAGGACGGACGGATGGTAGCAAGGAAAGAAGGAAGGAAGGAGGCAAGGAAGCAAGGAAGGAAGAACGGATGGACGGACAGATGGAAGGAAGTAAGGAAGCAAGGAAGGACGGACGGACGGACGGACAGACGGAAGTAAGGTAGGAAGGACGGACGGACGGACGGAAGGAAGGAAGGAAGCAAGGAAGGAAGGAAGAAAGGACGGACGGACAGACGGAAGTAAGGAAGGAAGGACGGACGGACGGACGGACGGAAGTAAGGAAGGAAGGACGGACGGACGGAAGGAAGCAAGGAAGGAAGGAAGAAAGGACGGACGGAAGGACGGATGGAAGCAAGGAAGGAAGGAAGCAAGGAAGGAAGGACAGACGGAAGGAAGGAAGCAAGGAAGGAAGAAAGAAAGGACGGACGGACGGAAGGACGGATGGAAGCAAAGAAGGACGGACAGTCGGACGGACGGACGGAAGGAAGGAAGCAAGGAAGGACAGACAGTCGGACGGATGGACGGTAGCAAGGAAAGAAGTAAGGAAGGAGGCAAGGAAGCAAGGACGGATGGACGGACAGATGGAAGGAAGTAAGGAAGCAAGGAAGGACGGAAGTAAGGAAGGAAGGATGGACGGAGGGACGGAAGGAAGGAAAGAAGGAAGGAAGCAAGGAAGGAAGGACGGACGGACAGCGGACGGATGGAAACAATAAAGGACGGACGGAAGGAAGGAAAGACGGACTGAAGCAAGGAAGGAAGGAAGGACGGATGGACGGACGGAAAGAAGGAAGGAAGGACGGACGGACGGAAGGAACGACGGATGGAAGCAAGGAAGGAAGGACAGACGGACGGACGGACGGTAGGAAGGAAGGAAGCAAGGAAGGATGGACGGACGGAAGGAAGGACGGATGCAAGGAAGGAAGGAAGGACGGACAGACGGACGGAAGGAAAGAAGGAAGAAAGGACGGACGGACAGACGGAAGGAAAGAAGGAAGAAAGGACGGACAGACGGAAAGAAGGAGGCAAGGAAGCAAGGAAGGAAGGACGGACGGACAGACGGATGGAACTAAGGAAGGAAGGAAGGAAGGAAGGAAGGAAGGAGAGTTGTGCTGTTTTCAGAAGATATTGTGGGGCCCCATGAGGACCCCTTTACTTTCCTTCTTTTCAACTACAAAAAAATCTGAACTGTGCCGCTTCCCTACATGGCTTTAAAATAGATCTTTATCCGATAATTTTCATCGAGGCTTTTACTCCTCAATCATGCAGACTCCTGTCCAGCACAGCAAATGTCCAAATTCTTTGAACGAGGTATGGAAATTACATAAGTAGAGATCTCTGGCCTCCTAAAAGAGTTTTATTCAGCTTAGCATCCTACACTAAAAAAAGAAAAAGCGGGAATTATTATTTTTTTTTATTGGTAAAACAAAAGTCCTTGTTGGAAAACCAATTATAACGAACCAGTAGTATTACTATTGATCTTTCTTATAATGCTAAAAAAAAAAAAAAAAAAAAAAACTTTATAAGCTGTTTTTTCTTTAAGCAAAAGTAAATAAAACTCCAAAGCAAATTAGAAGCTGTGATTTAATGATATTCAACTACAGGCTAACAAGGACCATAAACATTCAGAAGGGGGGGTAATGTGATAAAAACTGCCCAAGGGCTACAAAAAGCTGCCATTTAACTTTATTATATTTAGCTACTTACCCTATTTTCCCTTTTATAGAAGAAACGGCAGTAGAATGTATGTTTCACAAACTGTTTGGTTAATTCCTATAAAGTTAAATACCTGTACTGACCTACGAGTCGCTACTCGGTTAAAGCTGTATTAACATTATTCTGTCCTGATTTGTAAAACCTTAAAACAGAGACCGGTTGTGCTTTCTTTTCCTCATGCCTGCATATGATGAGTCTAATGTAAACAGACATTTTTTACATATAGAACACATGCAGTTAATACACAACGTGCTTGCCGTACAATTCCTTTCTTGGAGCTTCCGTTTCTGAGAGACAGCGTCATGTCTACCAGCAGGTAGCCCATGTCTTCCTCCAGGGTGTTTGGATCATTCAGCGAGAGAGAGAGCTCATTGACCCTGAGACGAAGGAAAGGTTATTTTAAACACTTTAGATTAAGAGATGGACTGTTACAACATTAATAGATAAATGAAGTGATAAATCACACGGCATGTTTTCATCATCATCATCATCGTCGTCAGAAAACAAATGACATCACCTCAGAGTTAATTGGTAGAGAAGATGGCCATTTAAAGTTTGAGTTTACTTTCTGATGCTAAAAATCACAAAATTCAATACAATCATACGGAAGAGGATTAGGGCCACTGAAAAAAAAAAAAAGTTAACCGATTTTTAGATTTTATTTCAGTTTAACATGGGAAAAAAGTCAGATTTCTGACTTTTTTCTCAGAATTCTGACTTTTTTTTCCCAGAATTCTGACTTTAATCTCAGAATTCTGACTGAATTCTGACAATAAAAAAAGTCAGAATTCTGAGAAAAAAATCAGAATTCTGACTTTTTTCCCCATACTATACTGAAAAAAAATGTAAAAAATCAGTTAACTTTTTTTTTTCCCAGTGGCCCTAATCCTCTTCCGTACAATCATTATTGTATGTGATAAAAAAAAACAAACAAACAAACTGCAGAGTGAAAATTCTCAAGTGAAAGGAAATGATCCATGGCTTTTTCATCTCTTTAATAATGATAATCAGAAAAAGTATAACCTTGCTCAAACAAAAAAAAAACAATGATGTCCAGATATCACATCTAAAATATTTGACTTCACAAAATCTGAATTTAATGGCTTGTTATGACCTGATTATATCATGTTTATGTAAACAATAATTCTGCACAACTTAAAATCTTTGCCCTGTTCCAAATGATTTTCTGAACATTATAGTTGATGAACCAAACTAATAAATTGACATTGGACCAACCTAATATACTTCACATATCCTTTGACTTTACTTCAAAAGTAATTTCCGTTTCCCATCTTATAAACTCTATACACCCCAGACAGGTTGCCAATCCATCTCAGCACAGAACAACCATTGACACACAACCATTTACACACACGCTCACACCTAAGGATAATTTAGACAACCACACATGCAAACGTCATTCAGAAAGATCCTGGGTAGGGATTTGAACCCACAACCTTCTTGCTGCAAGGCGGCAGTGCTAGCCGGGGACCTGGACTTCATCACATGCTCTCACTGCATCTAAAGCGCAGTTCACATTTGATTCAAACTAATAATAAAAATTACCTGCAGGCCATGAATAAATATATACATATTGAGAGAAATCAAAAACTTTATTTTGGGTCCTTTCTACGTGTATTTAGTTCAGGTTAAATCAAACTTGATGTCGCAAAATCCAAAAAGAATGAGTTACACAATCAAATCAATAATTTTATTTAGTTTAGAGTGAAAAGCATTAGTTTGAATGAACAGTTACATGTTACACTTTTTTCAGTGTGCGATACTCATTTGTAATTTGCTCCACTGAATTCAGTCTTTCTAGAGGCACAAGAAATACCAACTGTACCAGCTTTCTAGAGAACGATATTCTATGCGATTTTCATGGTAATATTCCTCATTTTCAGGACTAATCTGCCATTTTTTAAGTCAGTCAGGAAGCTTCTGAGGGGCCTTGACTGAGGGGGGGCAGTCTTATTATATTTTGTAAATATAATAAGAAACTCCATCAGTAAAATAAATTATCTTTGTGTTCTCTCTAATTTTTCAGCAGTAAACAGCGAAACAAAGCATGAATATATTGACACAATATATTGACACAGATAGATGTTTTTTGTTTTATATAAACTTTTACGATTTTGATAGAATTTTTAATGTGAAGTTTAAAGTTATAGTATATTTAACACTTTGGCATTCTGATAATTTTTCCTTTGTAGAAGTTTTACAATACAAATAAAATGAAAAAGTTAAATGATACCTCTTCAATGCACCTTTATAGCAGTTTTAAAAGCTTGCATAATAATAATTATTATCTTTTTTTATATCAATGTCTTTCACAGGGCCCCAAATTCCTAGTAGTGCCCCTGCAAGGCCCCAACTTTGAGAATCAGAGAGCTAAGAGGAAATAATAAATACCAGAGAGGTTGGAGGAATTTTAAGTATCTTCAGAGACACCCACCAGGGGGCGCCATCTATCAAGATTTTAGCCACAGAAGAATCAAAGTGATGAAGGTGTTTTCCCTATTTTACTATTAAGAACTGAAATGAATGAATGATCACTATATGTGAGAGCATATCAGGATTTTACAGTTAGAACTTCAAAGACTTACTTGTCAATCTCTAAATCACTAAGGAGAACAGAGGCAGAGCCCATAAAGTCGTCGGTAGTCAGATCACTGTCGTACACCTGCGTCAAATCAGAAAGCAAAGTGTTAATTCCCACACAACTGAAACTGTGACTAGATCTATCACCCCCACCCACCCAAATCCCCCCCACCCCCATCACTGCAAAACTACAGAGAAATGCAAACCTTTGCAGGGAAGTACCAACTGACCCTGTGAGTGAGTTATGATAGAGTCGTTACCTTGATGTACATCTTCTGATTCAGATCCTTCAGCGGCACAGAGAAGCTCTCATTCCATATAGGGTTGAGGTTTTTATGAACAACTTTGCTTTTATAGATGCTCTTTCCGTCAAACTTAAACTTTACATAAGGGTCGCTGGTACCTAAAGAAATAGACAAAGAAATAGTTTATTTTTCATCCGTTTGAAAGTGAAGGAAAAGTTTTAGCACAATGTAAAAAATAAACATTCCTAGGACAGTTAGTTGCTAAATTAAGTTTAGTTCTACACCTCTGCTAGCTTACGAGGTACACTTCTGAGAAACCTATTTCCAGTAAAAGGGAGACCTGGTCTGCTATCATTGTCATTTCTCAAGTCTGTGGGACGGATGGCGGTTTATTTTTTCCTCCCCACATCGCAAGACCAAAACTTCCTGCTTTAAAAGCCAACTAAACTTCAACCCCAGGGAACCTGGAGGCAGCTGAAAACTAATTACTCGTTTGAACTTTGCTTTACACGAAGGAAGCCAACAGGACTGCTGTCAAATGTAGGGATCAACTACTTCCTCAGTGCTTCGTAACACTTTCTTTCTAGAGATTCCTTCAAACGCACGTTTCCAATCAATCAATCATGATTTGTGGACCTTTATACTGGAAATATGTTTTTTTTTTTTTTTCAAAAGATTCGGCCAAAAATCCTGCCATGATGAGTGGACTCAAAGTTTAACAACAGCTAATATCGGCCAAGTCATTAGCTGCCTATAAAGAGTGATATGAACTTATCTGTTGACGAGTCACTCTTCTGAAAGCAGATGCAAAGGTTCCCAGACAGCAACTTGATTAAATATTTTCGCCATCAGCAGCTATTTGTCTTGCAGCTTAAGTCTGCATACAGTTTGAAACATTTACACTGCATTCCTCTTCTAGCTCTCCTTGTGTGTCTTCTAACATCCTTTTAAACCTGGCTCTGCTGTCAAGGCCTCAGGTGTTGCTTAGAGAATGTCGGCGATGATCAAGGGACACGGCAAAAGGGTCAGGGAGAAAGTTGTAATGAACTGGGAGCAAGTTTAGGTTTTAAAACAGTATTTCAACCTGCCAACATCTCATTTAGTCCAATCATCCAGCAGAAAGGATGACACAGCTGCAAAACTATTAAAAAACGGAGGATATTATTTCAGCAGCCAATATGTTTATCAAACTCTGGATGAGCTCCAGATATTAAGAGCTCAGGTAGGAGGGTCTTTTGATAGAAATACTCTACAATTCAAGCGTTTAGGAGAGATCGTAATGTTTTAAGAGAGCCTCCTGATTGAGGTCTAGAACAGACCGTTTAAAGGACAGGGCAATGATGTCACAGAGGGATGGAGCTGGAAGCAAACACTGAAGACACCTTCAGCGTGTGGAAACATGGTGGCGGAAGCAGCATGATGCTTTTCTCTAGCATGGAGGTAGAGAAAATTAGAAGCAGTCCGTTGGGATGGATATGGTTTGGAATAATTAATCGGAATAATCGACATTAATAATTGAAATAATCGTCAACTAATTCAGTAATAGATTAATCATTAACTGGAGTATAGAGAGTGTAAAATATATCTTTAGCTGACAAATATCATCTTTATCTGACATATCAAAATTGTAAAAAAGAAATATATAAACATTTCACTTTTAAAATAAAAAGAAAAGTTTTCATGTCGGTGTTCTCTATCCAGAACTCCTCCAGCGGAAAAGTTGAAAGGGCAGATTAGATTTCTGCAACCGCATACATGAAATGTTGCTTGCATCTGGTCGGGAACCAGTTTTGCTGGTATGCTTCTGCAGCGTCAGTCTGGAATTTCTAGGGATGCACAGCAGATTCCCGCCAAATTTCAAGAGCCAGCCTTTTCAAAAACTCACGAGAACTTTGGCAGATGGTCACGAGAACTTCGGCGGCGCCGGCGGGAGTGTTTATCTTTCGAAACCAAAATAGCGGTTCTGGAAGATATCACTGGCACAGAGATAGATCTAGAGTTACTAGACATCAAAGAGGAACAGGTTCTGTTAATGGAGCGAACCTCCTCGATTAACCTTTCATTGTAGTTGTTCCTCGGTTTTTAAAAATGGCGCGCCCCGGCACCGAATTGAGCAGGACGACCACACACAGTTGCTTTTTGTCTGCGCACTTCCGCTTGATTTCTGCGCAGGTTCGCAACTGTCTGTCGCGTAGCAACGATGTTTTTGCGGTGCGCGGCGACAGAGACAGATTTGACGGTTACACAGGCTGTGCATCAGAAGCATAAATTGGCTTTTAGTTTCACCTGGTTTAATTTCAGAAAATGTCTTCTTTAAGGAATTTTCAAGCTATGAGATTATTAATCGATTAATTTAAAGCATTATTGACAGATTAATTGATTTGGAAAATAACTGTTACTTGCAGCTGTAGATCTGATCACTCTTTGACAAATCCTACTGGAAGGAAACTAAAATGCCACGTGAGAGAGATTGTGTCGCGGATTCATGCGTGTTCTGTGTGAGGAATCGCTGAGGAGATTTAATGCGACTGGCTGGACTCTGTTACTACATACATTCAGGAGCAATGAAAGCTGCAAGTCAGACTCCAGTTTATCGGCTGGGTTTCCTGAGATTGAAAACTTTATCAGTTCAGTTCAACATTGCCAATTTTCTAAAGTGAACCTAAAATTACTGTGAATGGAACATAAGAAAGTCTTTGAAGTTATAAAAGAAACATAAGACCACAGACAATTAAAACTATATCTTCTTTCCATGTGATGCGACGAATAAGAACCGGAAACATTTTCAGTCTCTGGTTGAGAAGGCAGGAAATGATCACATCATTTGTCTTTATCATTGTTTCTTTTTTAGTGTCATAACAATCTGAATTTATTATGTCAATAATAAAACATTTTTAAGCCCTAAAAGCTGAAATAATTGCTGGGATGTTTATCTTCAGTCTTCAGTCCCGTTTTTGGTTTAGAGAAGCAACAGATTATATTCCAAAAAATAAAGTTAAATGTAGTTATTGTGGAGTGTTTGGAGATTCTTAAATATGCAATGTTTAATGACGTTATGCTGAAGTAGCTTCTCTAATATCAGAACATTTTGTCTGAGTTTCAATAAAGCCACATGTGTGACAGATTTTTTGCGTGCATTATGTACGGAAAGCCTTCCTATGCAAAACAAGAGTTTTCCTTTCAATATTAACTGTTAAAACTTTTCTAAAATGCATTTCTATTCCCGTTCCTTTAGCCCAACCTGCCTGACTTTCTGCTATTTTATTTTGTATGTGTTTATTGTTTTTATTGATTTTACTTGTTGTTCTCGTTTTCTCCTCATCCTCTGCAGTGTTCCTCTGATTTTAAATGTGCAGTGCATTCTTGCACCTTTGGAAGTTTTTTTTTTTTTTAGTACTAGCAGTATTACACAAAAATGAATGCAGGAGTATTTAGTAAAGGAATATTTATTTGTAAAAAATGTAGATAACTCTTTTTTCTTTGTTATTCTCTACATCCCAACTATGCATAATAGGGATGCACGATATTGGGATTTTGGCCGATATCCGATATGCCGATATTTTAAAACTCATGTAGACGATAACCGATATCGATACCGATGTTAAAGCTGGACAAAAATAAGTAGTCATTGAAAATAGCAGTTTTGTTATCCATTTCTGACACTTTGAAAAATAATATATTTTCATATGCTGATATCAAATTGATTTTTAAAAACGCGGTATCGATCTATTTTACTTTCAAAATCTCATGAAATTTCATCGTTCTGTGACAAACTCTCGTGATATTTTGCAAATTCTTGTGAGATTTTGTTAGTAAAATAGATCGATACCGCGTCAATATATCAACATATAAAAATATGGCAAAATTTCGTTAATTTTCGGGGGATTTCGTAGCATAACGATGACATATAGCAATATTTCATTAGTAAAAGAGATTGATATGGTGTTTTTAAATGGCAATATATCAGCATATGAAGATATTGGGATATTTTAATGTATCAATATTTTTTCCCTCGTCTTTAGAAGTTTTTAAGTCTGTAAAAAAGAAGTTTTTGAGGAAGAAGAAAAAGTAGTATTTCTTTTATTTTTTTTAGACTTTAGAAACTCAGAAGCTGATCAAATATCGGGTTAAATATCGGTGGGGTGGCTGATGTCCGATATGCAGTTTTAAAGGTACACTATGCAACCGGTGTTGATTTTCCAGCGAGGCTCCCCCCAGAGGGCGAAAGTAAAAGTGCACTGTCGTAAATATGCACAGCTGTTCTCCTGGTTTCTCCGTCAAGCCAGGCGCGGTTGTTTTGAGCTTAGCAGACAGGCGAACGCAACGAATGACTAATGCTGCGTTCACAGCGCAGCTGGCGCGACAGAAGCAGCGAGTTTACATGCAAAGTCAATGGTTGACGCGCGTCAAGGCGCAGCAAAAGGTCCCGCGGCGCGTTTTGAGCAGCAGGCCCAGCGCGTCTGAGCAGCTGAAGCAGGGAGAGAGACACAGCGCTGATGATCTCTCCTCTTAAACAGTTTATTGACGCCTAAATTAACTTAAATGCAGAAATCTGCCGGCAGAATATGCAGTTTGGATTATTTAGATGAAAAACACCTACCAGCTGCCGCGGTGAACCGCGAGGAGGTGACCTGGCCAGAGGCTGCTGATGAAGGGATTCCTTCTGTCGGCGCACCGCTGGTATGTGGGGGTCTGAGCGGCTCCGACAGAAAAAATATTGAAGGCAGGATAATAATCTGAATGAACTGACGGCACTGATTACGTTTTCAGGTGTATTTTCTCATTTAAACACATATTAAAACTATTATTCCAAATGATCACAGCAAATATAGCTGCAAGGCAGAGAAAGGATAGTGAAGCTCCGCCCAACGCGCCTCAGACACACTTTTGCACCGCGCAGCCAGAGCAGCAAAGCTGCTTGAGCCGCGCGTCAGAACTAACTGGTACAAGCAGCAAAAAGGAAGCAGCAGACACGATTTTGCTGCTTTTGCTGCGTGAACGTAGCATAACTGCACAAAGATCGCCACTGTGCTAGCAACGAGAATGCTTTTAACTGGGGGGTGTAGCAGTTCTCGCCGTAAAGCAAGACTGACTCTCACTAGACTTCTGAGCCTGTGGGTGCGGGTCGGTGCTCCTGCAGTTGCAAGTGCGGTATTTCCCCCACAGACCACCAGGGCGGCCGAGAATACCTTTGTTCAACCTGAAATGACTCATTTAATCATCCAAAACGTTATGGAACACATTAATTAACTGAAAAATGTTGCATAGTGTGCCTTTAAGGCCAATACCGATAGGGGGCCGATTATATCGTGCATCCCTAATGCATAACTTTGTTTTGGCCAAAGCTGCAATAAAACATTGACTTTTATGTTAGTAAAGTCAGATAATGATAGAAAGTTGAAAGATATGACTATGCATGATCCTAGTCTTCAATAAGAAAGACCCAGGATTAGTCTGAGTCATATAACTTCACTACTTTTCTACTTGTTAGGCTCGATCCCATCAGACTCTATTGGGAGAGTCATTCCAAACATTCAGCAAATGACCCAGTAAACGTGTTGGCATGACTGCATCTGCAACCTGCTCAAAATGAAAACGACAAAAGAAACAAAGCCATGTGGTTTTAACAACTCTGCATTGAAACATAATCCTTCTAGTCTTAAAACCTGATCTTCATTTTCTGCGTGACCTTCACCCGCTGTGTGCATGTGCAAACAAACACCGAGGCAACCGAGAGAAATTGAATTCAAATGCATCTCAGGAGTGAAAGAGCCTGAGGTATTCAGCGCTGGGTGTGGCTCAAACAGGTTCTTGGCTGCATGCAGATCTGCCAAGGTTCAGCAGAAACCAGGCAGCCTGTCTAGCAGCCAGGTGTCTTTGTTGCTCCTGGACTGCATACCATATGTTTTCAAACAGGCATTCCACTTCATTATTGAGGAAACTAAGCTAGACAAACAAAGAGGCTCAAATATCCAATTTGGCGATTCAGACAATCGGCATTCATGACATTCAAACAGGCTGGAAGAACAAATAATCAATATTTGCTCCTATTCACCAGTCCAGACATGTAAATATTGCTGCGGTGCAACAACAAGGAGGGATTAAAAGAGACCTGTGAGGTCCATGGAATACACAGATCATATCTGGTTATATGCAAATATCACACCATGGCTACTTGTGAGGAACCAGATACTTCATATTTCCACTAAAACTTCTCCTTTCATCTCTGTTTGCTTCCTTTTAAGCCCAGTTTCCTATTTGTAAAGATAAAGTCATAACGCTCTGCCTTAGATGTTAATTCTCTTTTTAAAATTAAATGCTGTATACATTTCAAACACTCAATCATCTCCCTAATGCTTAGCACGATGTGCCACATCATTTTAGCACAAAAGAATAATCAAGTTTAAACAGGGTTCCTACAGCATAAGGCAAATTAAATTCAAGACTTTTTAAGACTTTTTAATGCCACTTGAAATAAAAATTTAAGACCAAATTCACAAGAAAAACCAGCTTGCGACAACTTAACCCAAAGGTTTATTTTAACATAAACCACTGCACTAATGTTTCAGATGTTGAAAAGCTTCCCATACAGGAAGAAAGCTAAAAACACACAAATGACAGATATATTTGAAAAATTATTTAACTGAATTCACAAACTTTGTTTTAGCAGGGAACAAAACAAATCAGTTTTAAAGCCCCAACATAACCAGTGCTAAGTCTTTTTTGCAGCTATTTTTCTTTGTATGGTTTTCTTAGTATGTTTGATTTGTTGATAAGTGGAGGCGTTGCAGAGACAAGGGTGGAACTAAACTGAGAAATACCAGCTGTTTCTCTGTAACTCCATTTTGACGCTTTGCGTTTCGCGCTTCGCATGTGCGACTCCACTGCCTTAATTCCCATCGTTCTGAGCTTGAATGACTTCTTGCACAAAATCCACTGAGCCTCATGTATGTTCCCTGGTTTTAGCCATGGAGAAAACTCTTGGCTGGAGACAATTTTGGTTCCATTTACACTTGCTCATATTTTCCAGACAAAAAGTTTATGGTGCATCTCCCAAATGTCCCGGCCGCAACAACGCTTTTATTGGTTCCGCTATCGGGACCGAACCAATAATGGTAAGCCGTTATTTTTTTTAAATAAAAACAAAAGGTAAATTTTAATGTTTTACTTAGATTACAAAAATAAATCATAATAAAAATTATCCTATTTATGATGTTTTAAAAATTAAGACATGATTTAAGACATTTTAATACAAATTAAGGCCTTAATTTTATTTTGAAGAATTCAATGCCTTTTAAGACTTTTTAAGGACCAGCGGGAACCCTGTTAAAACAGGGATTACCATACCACACTTCAAAGGCCATTCTGAAACCCCTACAGTCTCTCTTCAAGGCAACTCTGAAAGTTCTTGATAAAAAACCTGCACATTATCATTATCGTAACAAGTAAGTACAACATTTAAGACTTTGAGCGTCATCAGATGTTTCTGGATGCATGCCTTGTTTTTAAAGTTTTAAATGGACTTGCTCCTCCTCCTCTAACAGATTTTATAAGCAAAAAAAACATTACTAGAATAAACACTAGAGCTTTAACCAGAGGAGACTGTAATGTTTAGCAGCGTAGGACCAAATTTGGCCAAATGGTTGCATCCAGGGGCTGTGTAACTTACATACTTTTTAAATTCTCCTTAAATCATTGGTTGAAAACTAACCAGACATGTGTTCACAGGTAAATTGATCTGTTTCCATTTTATTGTTAACCTAATTTTATTGTGATTTTATGTTATTGGCATCTTATCTGTTTGTGTCCACTATGTTCTCTCCTGTAGCGTCTTGTTTAATGTTCACTGTTTTTACCTGCCTTAGGACAGTGGATGCAAATCAGCTGTTGTGCTAATTCTGGCTTATTTACATTGATGTTTATGCTGACATGTTGATGAATGTGCATTGTCCTATTTCAAATAAATTAAATAAATTAAAAAAATAATCAGTGAGTCACAGCTGCGTCTGTTTCATGAGGAGATCATTACCGCAGCGGTCCCGGATAACCAGGTTGTGTCCTTCCTTAAGGTTGATTGTGAGCAAGTAGGACTTCGGAACATCTTGGACATGTTCCGTCTGATTTTCAGCCTCGTTTCCCATCTCACCCTGGACACAAAAGGCAAAGTATTACTAAGGCTTCCAGGAGCAGGAACAAAGAAAAGCAGCATTAGCAGCAAAAAAAAAAAAAAAAAAAAACACAGAAAAAGTACAATTACTTTCGTACAGGAAAGAAAAACAACATCTCGGCAGAGAGGTTTTAAATCCAACTTACTGGGCGACACATTTCTCAAGCAATGAGGCAGCGTTTACTTATACTCTATCCTAGCAACATATTGTGTAATTTATGCTAAAAAACTAAATGAGGAAACATTGTGGTACACAGAAAGTGTCAACACAAATTCTTATCATGCACCATATCGGAAAGGCCAAGTCCTTAGCTAACAGGTGAAAAGATGGCAATGCTCTATATAGTAACTGCTTTTAAACCGCTTACTTACCAATTACTTTGTGCTACATTTGATGAGGTTTAACGCTGCAAAGCAACGTGATCACATGTGGAAAATAATGAGGATTTCAGAGCTTTTAAAGCTGATGAGGCTTTCATGCAATGAGTGAAATGTGACCCAGAGGATCCAGAGTTTACTCCTCAGGAACACGAATACGCTACCTTAACGTATAATTCAACAGAGCTTGTAGAAGGAATTACTCTTAGCTAAAATAAGCGACTGTTAGGGCAGATTCATCAGTAAAGACGCAGACTTTGAAAAGAGGGAATCATAAACAGAAACTACTAAAAATATAAAGTTTAGTTTTTTTGTCTTTTACCGTTATCCTCGATTTAAGGATGGCCAACCTCTAAAGGTAGCTAATTATTAAAACTTTAAGTACATATAAGTGCATCAGGCTGGTTGAAAAAGCTGAACTAATCCTGACTGTTTGGCGTTTTGCTGCAGAATGGACAGGATGGTGACTGTTGGCTCATATTTTTTTTTGTGTAATCAAGTCTGTAAGAAAAGTCTCACCTTATATTTGCTTCCCATTATATTTTGTAAACTTTATTCTTTTGGGGAGGTCAGTTATTATTAAGTCACAGCGTTTATTGCTCTGTATTATATTCTTTTCTAGCAAAGTCTTGTTTCTTTATAACATTTTATTTTGGATAATAGACCTCTGTAGCACTTTGAATCTTCGTTACATAAAGGTTTGTTTAATCTGTTGATGTTCCAACCATGGGTGAAGGTTTGCATAGGGAACATAGGGACATGTCCCTACCAAAATTTTGGATTGACCTTCTTGTCCCTACCAATAATTCGATTTGAATAACATGTTTATATAAAATTTTTATAATTTACAATTCAGCGTGGCCAATTCTTTTTCTCTCGCAGCTCCGCAGCTTAGTAGCTGCTCCAGCCGCTCCATCTGAGTCCTGTCCCTTAAATCAGTAACTGTGCTGTTTAGCTCCACTCTCATTGGTTGTTCAGCCTCAAGTTCCGCCTTCCCTCTTCCTGATTGGCTGTTTTCTAGTCCGTATGCATGTGTGCGTGCTTGGAGCACGAAATACAAATTTTATTCATGCTAGTTACTTCAAATAATATTAGGCTACGAAACTAGTGCTAATAAAAAAAATATATATATTCTATCTACATTAAAACAGGCGAAAGTTGTTTTTTGCTGATTGAAAGAAAATGTGAGGGTTTCCCTTTTAACAATACTTCATAGCAATTACCGTTTTCATTTTATGACGACCCTTTGAGGTAGTTCAGCTATAAATAGCAGGTATTATTTCTTTTATAGAGTATAACAACACAAGATGGCGCCTTAACATCTGATATTTTTTTGTTTAGAAAGCATAATTACGGTTCCACATAATGTTGCTATTTCTTTAACTATTTCTACTTTTAAATTTAGTAATAAGCCAATAACAAACAAAGGAACACTATTTACATTGATTTTATTTTACAAAGATGTTCAAACAGTCCATAAGTTAATTAGTACAAACATTAGTTTTTGGTAAAAATGCTTTAATCCGGCTTTTTATTTGGGATATTATTACATTACAGACAAGATGGTGTTATATATATATTTTTTTTCTTTTAATAATTGTTAAACGTGATTTTATATTGGAATTTAGTCTCATTCTTAGTGTAGTGTTTTTGTAGATGATGCCACTAAATGTAAATACAATAAATGTAATTGCGTCCCTTCAATGTGTTATTTTGCATTGTTTCATGATACAGAGAGATGTGTTTCACTGGTTTACCTTTGCACAATTATATATCTTCAAAAGAAAGTACAGGATAAATCCACATATAACGGCCATATTTAGACTATATTTGGTTAAACTGGCACATAATTACCTTCTGTCTTAAGTTTAAATGCAAACCTTTTCAAAGTGGAAAAAAGTCCTAATTCCACATTAATCAGAGCTGCTGACGCTTCAAAAATTGATAAACAACATCTAGTGCGTGTAGTGCTTATAAAATTAGTGTAAATGTAGCAAGAAATGCTGCTGTTCTCTTTAAACGAAATGTATCCTGATGCTCACGTCAAGCATAAAAAAACATGCATATTTGTGCATAGGTAAAATGACATTAATGAAACTTAGGACCAATAGTGTCCCTACCAAAGTGGAAATCAAACCTACGCCCTTGGTTCCAACCAAAAAGACTGTTTTATACTAAAGTGTAACTCACCCTGAAGCAAACAGGCCAGAAACCCTGAGAAGCAGGGCGAAGTGTTGGGATGGGGAGGGGGATTTAGGAGGGGTGTGGTCAGAAGGACAGAAACTGGCAGATAGCTTAGCTTTCATAGCCTCGTGAGACCATCCTGATCTCGCGAGATTTCAAAGTTTCACTTGCAGATCAGTCTGGAGACTCTCCGTTAAAGAAAATTTGGAGCCGTTCACCAAACGAACGTCCAATCAGCGTTGGCTTTGAGGCGGGTTGAGGTGTGACGCAACGAGAAGCGTGACAGTTCAGTCTAAAGAACATGGTGGCTTCAGCCGATGAAGCTAGCGTTAGCGTGGCTATGGAGCAAGTTTTATCGGAATTACAGAGTATTTCTTCACTGAAAGAAGAGCAAAACACTGCTCTGGAGGCTTTTCTCAGAGGAAAAGATGTTTTTGCTCTTTTCCCGACTGGTTTCGGCAAGAGTTTGATCTATCAATTGGTTCCTCTTCGTCGTCGCTCTGTAAGTACGTCATATGCTTCGTTGATCTGATTGGTTTATTTGGCCCGTCTATCACCAACATAAGCAAATCAGCTAACCAGTATTTTCACCCCTTCCCAAAATTACTTCAACGGAAGGTTTCCAGATGGATATGCGGAGCAAATCCCTCTGGCGGAGTCAGGTTATAGCTTTCACATATCAAGGCAGAAACTGAGCAGAGATACTGATTGTTTCTAAACGAATAGATCTTTTGAGGTGGAAGGGTTTTCACTCCATTTAACACCGGTTGTGTTTGTCGACGATCAGTGTTGGAGAAAATAGGGCTGCTGAATACACAGCTGGACGGGAGGGCTGCTACAGCGTATAACTAAATGAGTTGTATTTAAACCCAAACATGGGCTATGATAATGAAAACTTTACCAGTATTGTACAAAAGTTAATCCCTGTTTATGAAAATTCCTACCTTACTAAGGTTCTTAAACGCACCACATGCATAGCACTCAGTCTGAAGCAGACATCGGTTTAATGATCTGCAGTGTGTGCATCCATAGAGCCAAACCAGATACAAACCCCCAACAGATCCTTAAATGCAGATAAATCAATCAAACCTGATTAAAGGAGTCTGCCTCTTCTTACTGCAAGCACCTGAACATCTTTAAAGTATCCTGACCCGACACCCTGAACTGATTGTTGCCACCTAAGTTCCATATATAGTCAGTCTATCATACAATTATCCAAGGTTTGAACCAGTAGGAACTGCAACAGCCACATTTCAACTACTTACAGCAGCTTTAAGAAAAATATTGCAGAATTAAACTTACATGAAGATGTAAAAAAATGTATGTTTACTAAAGTTGGAAACAAAAAATGACTTACAATGAACTGATTAGTTAAAGTCTGATTAACCCGATAACATCCACTGAAAAATAATTAAATTCCATGTTGTAATCGCTGCTACTGTCCTGTAGAGGGTGCTAGTGTTCATTTCTGGGTGGAGCCTAACTAGTGTTTAAAAGAGATATAATGTTAGAGCGTTATATATCCTGATATAATGCCTCAGAGTCCAATTCAGGATTACTTTATTTTTTATTTATTTATACTGTTTGTAAATACAAACACTCGACAAACTCGTTAAGTTATTACCTAAATATCCCATTTACTGCATGGCGAAGCAGCGTCAACGTCTTCGCTGCGTTTGGAAAGTGAGGATGTGATGATTTATAAAAGTGTACGGCATCACACAGCATTATAACAGGACAGACAAAGACATGTTAGCAATTAGCATGGTATATGGAGAAGGCTTTCTAAGTTTATGCACTTCATGGAGTTCGGTTTTAACATTCCTCTGATCGCAACCAGAAACACATATTTAAAAGCTCTGCTAACAGTTATAAGTCACTCCAGTCATGATTGATGAATCACAAAGAGAGCTATATTATATGCCTTTCCTTTAATGGTAGTTTACTTCCCTGTACATTGGAAAGTATAAGTTATTAATCTTTTTAAATTCACATCTATTTTACTAGGTAACCAACTAGGTTCCTGTCTAATAATAGTATTTTAGTTTATTTATGTCTAAGAAAAGATTTTGGTGTTTATTCAACTTTATTAACTATAACTGGCACAATATAAAATATACAATAATTTATTATTAATTTTAATTCAACTATTTGAAAGATCCTTTAGATCTTTAAATGTTTTGCGCCACAGACCGCTATATGTCAGAGGGGGGTGATGCGATCAAAGCAAAATTATACGACTGGCATAAAATCAAACACAAACAGCATAAAAATAAAACAACAAGCCGGTCCCATCTAGGCGTAATGGGAGAAAATGACAGACGAAGTGTGCTCCTGATGTCCAGTCTGCTCTGTAGCTTTGTTTTGGTCGCTATATTCGCAGAAAATCCCACTTCACAAAGATAGGATGTTATAGAT